GACTTATTGAAGGGTCTAAAATCATAGAAACACTTTTGTTACCTAAAAGAATATAAGTGTAGTCGACCTATTGGATATTATGGGGAACGAGAATGTTATATTAGAGTTTATGAATGTATGAAAAACTAAAGGGCTCAGTTATCACTACCAAATGTAACATTTAAGCATTTATTGGTATGCGTTTTTTAATTATTAACTAAAATATAAATGTAATTGTAAAGATTAAACTCTTCATGTTATTAGGAATTAAGAAAGATTCGATTTTTATACAAGTTCTTTGGTGTATTGAGCAGTGTGGGCCTAGTGGCTTCAGCGTGCGACTCTCATACCTGAGGTCGTAGGTTCGATCCCCGGCTGTGCACCAATGGACTTTCTTTCTATGTGCGCATTTAACATTTGCTCGAACGGTGAAGAAAAATCGTGAGGAAACCGACATGTCTTAGACCCAAAAAGTCGACGGCGAGTGTCAGGTACTGGAGGCTGATCACCTACTTGCCTGAAACGTTGTAGTGTCACTGGTTTTTAAGTTTTATCAAATAAAATTATTCATTTGTTCTAAATTATCGATAAATATGTAAAATCCTAAAAAACCAATACCATATAACCAAAAAGGTAAAAATAAATTCGCGCATAACAATCTATAACAAAATGTACGGTATTCAAACTTAACAACCGATCAAATAAAAGGTCATCTCATATTCATAACGCCAGGCCGTCCCATAAATTGTTCAGTAATGAATGTTCCCGCCCCAATAAAAACTCCCATGCTAAATGGGTACCGCACAGTGGAGAAACGATACAGTTGTATTGAATTGATTTATAATAGTAAAGCAAAAGTGTTTTTTTGTTGACCAAAGTTATAATATACTAGCGGACCCGATAGACGTTGTCCAATGTTATATTTCAAGTAGGATTTTAAGATTAGGATATTAAACAAAGTATGAAACTACCGACTGCAGCGCCATCTGCCGGTCTGATTTATGAATTTGAACCACCCAGGGCGCCCGTCAAACGTATACAAAAAAATTCATTCAAATCGGTCCAGCCGTTTAAGTTTAAGTTTCAGTGACATACACACGTACTGTAGAATTATATACATACTAGCTAAAAATCCCGGCTTCGCCCGGGAGTAGATATGAGATGACGTGGTAGAGTCGAAATAAAAAAATAAACTATGACGTAAAAAGTAAAAAAAAGTTTATTGAAAACGTTTTCTCATTATTTACAATACTTGTTTATAAACAACATTTTTCATTTTATTGTCCGGAGTATATATACATAAATTTTTCGGATTTCCTACTCTTGAGCAAGCTACATATAGCTGACCGTGAGAGAAGCAGGATTCTTTGAGGTTAATGCCACAATATTTTAAAGTTTGTCCTTGCGCTTTGTTAATTGTAAAACTAAAGGCTAATTTTATTGGAAACTGCAGTCTTTTAAATTGAAATGGCAATTCCGAAGAGATCAGAGGTATTCTAGGTATAAATACTGTCTGTCCTTTGGTCTTTCCAGAAATAAGTTCAGCTTCAATGATATTATTCGATAGCTGTTTTACGATCATTCTAGTTCCATTACATAATTTTGGGGAGTTGAGATTTCTGAGTAGTATGATTGGAGTTCCAATTTTCAGACGAAGGCAGTGTAATGGCATTCCTGGTACTTGTAAAGAGTTTAGAAATTCAGTGGGGAAGTTGACACTTTCTTCAATGGATACCATCGTGTCGATCGATTTATATATTTTCTCTTCACCAGGTATTTTCTTTAGAATATTAAAATTGATATCGTCAACAATATTATTTTTAGTGGCCAAAATTGCTCTTTGAAATTGACTTTTTTTAATGTTTTGAGAACTAATTTGGATAACTAAAATTATGTCGCTTTAACTCCAAAATATAAGTTAGCTAATGACGTATAAATACACAAAATTTAATAACTTTATTATAGCAACAAATTAAATTTAAGACTATTGAAATTGGAATTTTAAATTTCGTGTCACTACTACACATGCTACAATTGCTCGCAACGCTTTTGGAAATGCAACCCAAACAATCGTTGTCTTGAACGAAGTTCAAATATTCGATAACAGATGGCGTCACTGCACTTAATTTCCAAGTTGAAGGGTCGGAAATTCCCCTATATATCTTTAAAAACATGCCCTTTAGATTAAAACGGGAACTTTCTTGTTCGAGGGGGGATAAAGGGCTATCACACCACATAAGTCCTTTTATCGTGTCGGGACTCCTTTTTAAGTTTTATCGGCACGCACATTTTATCGACTTAGTTTTATTATATATATATATATACATATAAGATTCGGTGTTACCACTTAAGTCTATTTTGTCAAGTTGAATGTTAACTTAATAAGGTAATTAATGCATTCAATGCATTAAGCATTTTTGCCAGTTTCTGTAATAAATTCGCTTATATATCCATTAAATAAGTGTTTTTATTCCTGTGCATATGTATAAAATAAAAAAACGAAATAACTTTAGTGATCATTTAGACGAAAGAGTAACTTTAACTCAAAATAACTTTATTCATATATAGGTACAGATACCGGCAATTGTCTTAATCATTAAACAAGGGAGTGGGGGAAAGTTTGCGCATCGCGGGACACAAACGTCAACTGATGTACCAATCACGCGATCGACACGTCACTCTCCCGCCCGCACGCACCACCGATTTATTACCGATTTATTGATTAATTTACGTTAAACGATAGCTTTGAATTTTAGGAGTGGTTTATCTTCTGGCGCCTGGTTGGTCATATGCTTAGATTTGTTCCGTTTCGAGTATTATATTGGTGAGTCACCATTGTTTTAAAATTATATATATTTTCTTTGTACATACAACAAGGCTTCAAGAATATATTGACCAGATGTCATATTTAATTCCTTAAGCTTACTCCGTACTTCTGAGACCCGCCAAATTTCGTCATATAATATTATACAATTTCACCACTGAGCGTTATTGTACTGTATCATAGGATTTATGTGGAGAGCGAAGACCGCATCGCCTCCTGTGAAAATTTTAATGCTGGCCGTGCGAATGACGTGAAATTCGCGGTTTGCGGAACGCCCGCGTTGCCATCACGCGATACAAATTCACTTGATTTCAATTTTAAACAAGAAAACTGTTGTTCCTTTACCTTATCTGCAATTTATTTTATTGTGAAGATACTATATTTCCCTTCTACCTACGCTACTCGCATTACGCATGTCAAAAATTAAATATAAAGATCAAAGGTCAATCTCAAAACCTAATAAACCAATCTTGCTTGAATATGTAAAAAAAACTACTCGTTTTTACAAGGGTTTGTTTTACTGGATACCTTTACGAAATAAAAGTAATATAATTAAACTAAATACTGAGGGTATTTAGCGAACATTTTAAGAACTACCCTCATATTCAGAAAATAATTAACTGCAATATTTTATCTTATCTGTCCATTTTCAACACAGCATTAACATTTGACAGAAACAGGCGATAGAGATGAGTTATATCTATAAATCTTATTATATACGTAATATAGAATATGTTGGCTCAGTACTATGGTAAGATTCAATCACCTTCGATAAGACATATCCAACGACAGGCGTCGAAGGAGTTTATTGAAAAATATTTTGATAAAGCACCCGCTTCATGAATATTGACGACGTCCTGAATATTCAGGGGCGACACTAGCAATTGAAAACATGCCGGGGGCCTCCATTGTCGCTGTCCGCAACGCTGCACACCAAAATCCGAATACGAAATGAGCATTTAAAAGTCAACGCCTGATGCGATTGAGGCATTTTTAATTTTGACTTCTTGCAAAAATGTATTACAAGCAACAAAGGCAATTGGATTTTTGTAACTATATTTTAACACTGGGATTTTTAAATGTATTATCGAAGTTCCTCCATTATCAGTTTTCTCTATGGTACATTTAATCTGTGTTAAAATCATATGAAACAAACATAACAAGGTCTTGAACACGGCATTATATTGTTTTAAAATCATATTTATTAAGATTTATTAATGTTCTTTTTTTAAATCTATACGCGTTATAAAATTCCAAAAACAAAATATAAACTATTTAAATTATCTGTGGTTTAAAACGGAACAAAAAGTGTATATACCACACTCTGTACGCGATAATCATTCTTAATTCAAATTAAGTTTCAAAACCACCATAGACAATTCACAGTTTAAGTTTAAAACATAAAACTGCTTCCGGCGTTTAGAATTACTGCTACTATGTCATATTTCGATATCATACGACCGTAACGTATCTTGTAGATAGTAAGCCCAAAATACGATATTGGTGTGATCCTGGTATCGGTAAATGGGCTGTTATTTACAGCCCAGAATACAACAGCTGTGATGTCATAAAACCTTACATTATATCGTTTTAAAATTTTACAATTTCATTTATTTCGGACAAAATTAAATCTAAGCAGTAGTTTTCACAAGTGTGGACTTAGTTTACCGACCCATAATTGACTCGGGTTTGCAATGACTTTGATGAACCACAAAAAGTTTGATGAAATAAGCAAAATGTGTTTGTTTAGAAAACAAAGCAAATTTAATAGAATACATGATTTTCTTTGACTTATTTCAAACTTTAACTCATAAGTGCTTTTTACATTAAGTCTCTGTAGTATATATTTAAAAGCCTTGTGAAATTATATTGGTGATACTGTTGTTAATAACTACATTTTTATTTGAAAATTTAAAGTAAATAATACTCAGAGCAATAAAACAAACAATTTAAAATAAATAAGTAGTGCTATTAAGGAAAACAATTTGTATAAACTTGGGCACATTATTGCAGCACGGAGTCTATTAATTATTTCTTTTAGACTCCGTATTTTTACTTCACTCTGATTCTTTGTTTTTGTGAATTTTAAAGTGTAACAAACCAAGACACGAAGTTAAATAAATGTAGGTAATGATTTTGTTTAATTTTCTTTACAAAGTAAGTTGAAAATAAAGTTACTCATGTTAAGTCCTCGGATATGCAAAGTAAAAGTTGTGAGTGAATAAAAGCTCACATCTTCTACTTTTATATGATAATAGTGAATGCAACAAACAAGTTCCAGTAATAAATTTAAACATTAGTTTGCTCAGCCTCTGTAGTATATATTTAAAAGCAACACTAGGTACCTATTTGTTGCTTTGATATATTAATTACGTTTTTGTGGGGCATCTCGTTCATTCAACATATATGTAGATGAAACTGTCTTCGTTATTTATAATCAAAACACACTTAATAAAAAAAAATACCCAGTTATGTATCCAACTTTGTTTGTCTTGGGTATGGTAGGATACATTACATTTTTTTAAAGACTGGGACTGCGTGTTCCAAATAATCCGTAAAAATAGGAAATAAGTAAATTTTTGAAAGAAAGACTCATTAGTTGATCATTAGTTTTAAGTTAAAAAGTATAAGTTGTTGTCACCAACAGCCCTGATTTTCAGGCGCATACTATCGAGTAAAGGCTTTTCAGTTAGATACTCATTATTTTTAACAAAGAATTTAATGAAATGATTTTTCCTTCTACAGTAAGGGTGAATCACGGATAAGTTATAGGTTGGCTCGATAGGTCTGATTGCAAAAAGGCTCTCACGGTTTTATCCAATATTCGGAGGCGTCTAATGAAGGCGTGACGCTGCAAGAGACTCCAATTAATTATTTGTCACACGCTCCCGATCAATCAAGGTTTACGAATCTTGTTATTTTGACAGCGTATTTTCAGAGTTTCCTAATTAAAGTTGAGGACGTGTCAGATATATCTAATCATGCTAATTGTGAATGGAGCAGTTAGTTAGTAAATTACTTACAACTGAATAACTTTGTATTTCGTATAGTTGAGAAATTTAGGTTGAGTAACAAATGGTAAGTATAATCATATTGTTGTGTTTGATAATTTTCTATGAAGGAAACGTTACCATTTATTAATAAAAATCAAATAAATCAGTGGTGCTGCAACCTTTTTAGGTCTGGGCCTCAGATTTCGGTATCTGTTTCATGATCATTTGTTAATCTAATAGGTGATCAGCCTTGTGCCTGACACACCGTCGACGTTTTCTGTCTTAGGCAAGCCGGTTTCCTCACGATGTTTTCCTTCACCGTTTGAGCGAATGTTAAATGCGCACATAGAAAGAAAGTCCATTGGTGCACAGCTGGTGATCGAACGAGAGTCACACGCTGATGCCACTAGGCCAACACTGCTCTAATACATACACATTCGCTTTTTAATACACTTTTAAATAGTAAAATGATTATTTAACCGTTGTCTTATTTATTTTCAAATAAATAATAAACAGCTATTTAAGACTTAGTGAGATATCGTAAAGTTAGGAATAAGGAAATACGTATTTACATTATTTTATTCTGTTTGTGTACATTGAAAAACTTACATAAATATATTATGAACATTTTGTATGAGCACTTTAGTTATTATAAATGTGTGTGAATAAGGTTCAGTATGCGTGGTAATTATAGGTTTAGTATAAACATTTAAGAGTTTAATATGACAATAAAAAAATGCAGGTTTAGAATAAGCAACTGATTGAATTTACAAGGGTCGTTTTCATAATTTGTTACAATTTATTTTTTATTTTTATGGGTATGATCTAAGATAAGTATTCTATTGCATTAGTATTAAGTACTGTAATAATAGAAAATAAACAAATATATAATTATAATGATTCATGTGCACTTTCTATTATTAGGTATAATAATTTTTTTTTCGTGTGTCCTTTATAAGTTTGTTTTTTGTTCCTGTTTAGTTTCTTTTTCTAAACAACTATATGTAATACTTGTATTTTTGCACTTCTTGCCTACCTTATGTAATTTAATACTTTTTTTTTCTTTTCTCTCAGTGGTTGCCTGGAAGAGATCGCTCGAAAGCGATAAGGCCGCCAGTTGCTCTCCTTTTTATTTAATTATGTCAATAGTACTATATTTATGTATGTAAAGAGAATGATCTCTTTAATTTGAATATTCGCGCGCACTGCTAGTTCGTGAGTGAGCCGCGTCGTGTCACGTCAAGCTAGCTGCCATTGTCAAAGATGTAAAGGACAAATATGCTGAGATCGTTGAATTGTATTTTAATCTTATTTGTTAATTAATTTCATACTTAGTTAAGCTATATGCATCGAGAGGTGATAACAATAAACTTTTATTGTCGTTTCTTTACTTACAGGTGAGTTTGTGTTAGTCTTGTAAGGATTGTATCAGTGTGTAACCTACTCGATAAATAAAATTGCATTCTTTACTTAGAGAGAAACAAATAGAAGTTTTATTTAGCCTCTTGCAATTGAAATACAAACTATTGTCTTATATGTATATGCAACAAGGTGTTAATAAATAAATAAATAAATATATAGAAGGTAAATAAATAAGTAAATTATAGGCTGTATTCAAATTTTATTAAAATCGAGGAACTTATGTTTTTTTTGTTGGTTGTTAATAATGTTTAATTGTTGAACCAATATTCGGTTATTTTACATACAAACCTTTACAAAGCTAAGTAGGCATTTTTGCCAGCAAAATTTGTATCTAAGATTTTATTTCAATAAAAATTGATCATTCTAGTAAAGAAATGATTAATACAGACCCAGTGGCCACGTTCGTTAAATTTATGCTACACGAAAATCAAGCATAGGTACTTTAACGGTACAAAGCCGCATCCGAAATTGGAAACACTAGAAGTTCCCAAATGAAGCGTTATATTTATGACCGGGTGCCCACATCAAAATCTACAATTACGTACATCCCAACCCAAGGCTTAATCTGTCGCTTTGGCCTTACACGTTCATTAATCAATCTTTTTTCTCCGGAAAAGCCCGCTGCAAGAAAACCGTACAAGATTTATGCAGCCCATTCCGGCGGCAAACAGTAATAAATTTGATGGTTAATTGTTGACCGCGGATCTGTTTTAACTGAAGACAATTTGATTTTAAGGCGCTTAATGTTTTATTATTTTTTATTAAAGAGCGTATTTTATTAAAACTAGCTGACTCGGCGAACCTCGTTCCTCCTAACAGTCTAATAATATCAGAACCAATTCTTAGGCCGGCAACGCACTTGCGAACCCTTTGGAAATCTGAGTGTCTATGGGAGGCGGTATCACTTAATATCAGATGAGCTCCATATTCAAAATCCATAAACAAATAATATTTTTCAATTTGAACATTGGTTCAGAAGAAGATTAACATGAACTCGAGTTCAGTTAATCTTCAGTAATGCTTATAATAATAATAATATTATTATCATATAATTAATTCTTAATAGAGACTTATTAACGGTTTTTCTTAGGATTTTTAATAAAGCTATCCAGTTGAGACTGGTCAGTATAGATTTCTTAATTGAATTGAATTTTTCGTATTATAATTTAAATTGTACAACTGAACGACGGAACGATTATTTTGTTTAAAATTGTTTGGGCGAGACAATATTCGAGATTAAATTATACATTTATTTTCAGGTGAGACGTCCAGTGCTCCATGTCTAGCGGTATCTTCTCCGAATCGGACGGCACCTGCACCATTGTCTACACCTGTAAGTGAACTGAAATTTACATCTAAATTGACATATGTTTTTACGTGTGATATGTTAAACCTATATTTAAACCTGCGTTATTTCGGTCATATATTATATAGCCTAGGCTTTCTCAAGAAATCTCATTATCTTGTCAATAGATCTATGTCTGTTGTCTCGATTCTTTTATATATTTTATTTATACAAACCTTGTCCGGATTGTTTTCGACAAACAAAACAATAATCTAATTTTGTGCAGTCGTTTAGGATTTATAACCATACATTTGGTTTTTTATTTGTGTAGAAAGATTTAGATAGCGTAGTTACATTACACTCATTCATTCACTCACATGCACCCACACACTACATGCACCCACACACTCACATGCACCCACACACTCACTTATGCACTCACGCGTGTTACGCGACACGTAATTCTTTCTGTTAAAAAAATGGGAGAAGAAAATGTTGTAAACTGGTTAAAAAAACAAATTGTAATTGAAAAAATATTAATTTTTGGAATTAACTATTAAGTTTTTTATGAAAGAGCTGGGACATACACAGGTATTTTTTACAAAAAGGTTCCCTCTTAAACACTAAAGTGCAGGTGTAATTATACACATTTTTATTTTTTAATTTCACTATTTTAAGAAGCGTAACTAAATACAAATATTATCGAACATTTTGTTATTTTAAACGTTCATTAGTACCATTTAGTTATGGAATACAGAAAAAATAACTATCTTATAGTGTACTAGTGAAGTCTAAATACGTAACGCAAGAATATCTCGTAAACAAATCTTGTTAGAAAACCGCTCCAATTTAATATTGAACACATAAAATTGTAATCAAATGAGACAATCCTCAAATCGGTCAAGAAAAAGTAAAATAAAGTGTGATATTAAAACGTAAGAGGATTCGCAGGATCAAAAGGATTATGGGATCACAGTACGTTTTTATCACTGGCTTTCATTTTTCGTAATATCTTAAAGGAAATTCGTAAAAGTGACCCAAAATTAAGTATAAGTGCTTGTTACTCGGGTTACAAAACAAAGGCCGCCTTTGTTGTACAAAAGGCTCTTTAAGAAAAAATAGTAGCGACCGGAAATTTTGTGTAGAGCGTTTTTTCTTAATTTAATCACGCACCAATCGCATTCCCGCTGTAATATTTGATTGCATGTTTTAAAATTAGCAAACTGTAACCACATGCGAAATAGGAGAGAATGTTTTTATAATTTGAGGGAATAGTTGAGAAAATGGGTTTTCTTTTGGGGCCCCTTCCCCCCCCCCCCCCCTTTTTTTTTTTTTTTTTTTTTTTTTTTTTTTTTTTTTTTTTTTTTTCCCCCCCCCCCCCCCCCCCCCCTTCTTGGGGGGGGTCCCCCCCCCCCCCCCCCCCCCCCCCTTTTTTTTTTTTTTTTTTTTTTTTTTTTTTTTTTTTTTTTTTGGGGGAAATAATATATATGATAAGTCAAACTTTGCTGCAATGGATACGTTACTTAAAGCATTAAGTTGACGCGAATAATTAAGATTAAACCGGCATTAAATTAATTTAAATGATATAAAAAATACCTGATTTAAAAAAACATGTGTGTACTTATATACACGCGTTAGAAGTTATACTTCTTTGGCGTAACAAGATAAAAGTCTTTTCAAAAATTTATTGTACGTTTGTAGAAAAAACTAAAATGTTGACACTAGCTAAGTTCAGGGTGTCGCTTTTTTGTGACTGTGTGCGCGCGCATCGTAAGAATTTACTCTCATCATTTTCCCTAACGTGCCAAAAGAAGTAACATAAAAATTAATAATAACGATAAATAAAAAATAAAGAAATCAGCGGCGGCTTTAGGTCTTGGCCTCAAATTTCTGAATCTGTTTCATGATCATTTTTAAATCTAATAGGCAAGTAGGTGATCAGCCTCCAGTGCCTGACACACGCCGTCGACTTTTAGCGTCTAAGACATATCGGTTTCCTTGCGATGTTTTCCTTCACCGTTCGAGCAAATGTTAAATGCGCACATAGAAAGAAAATCCATTGGTGCACAGCCGGGGATCGAACCTACGACCTCAGGTATGAGAGTCGCACGTTGAAGCCACTAGGCCAACACTGCTCATAACGATAAATATATATTCTTTATTTACAGTTATAAAAAAATATAAAAATAAAAATAAAAAAATAAAATATGTTTATTATGGAACATAAGATACATGTATCACTTATTCCACGTCATTCAATTTGAAGGCATCCCTACTCATCGGCAAAGAAGACAGAGGGTGTAGGCCGAGAGAAAAAGCCGGCGTAAAAAACTCCGGTACACTCCTTTAAAACAGCAAATCAAACAAATACGGATTTAATTATACAACTGTATAATTAAATCCGTATTTGCGTTATACATGCCTCAAAAGCTCACCACTATTTGAGTTTCTCGCTTTAATTCCTTTATATTTAAATAAATAATCATTAATGTTAATAAACAAAGAATTTTCGACTGCACAAACGCTGTTCCAATTTCGAAATTTAGCTTCAAATAAATAAGCGATTTTTAATTACGTACACACTCATTAACCGTCACTGATTACGCTTTTGACGAGTTATTAAAATTCTACTCATTCTCTATCGTTCAGTAATTTTGGTGAAATCTAAAGCAAGTGTGATTCACCTTTAAACGACAAAGATTTCCGAGAGCAAGATGACTGAGTGCCAAACGAATTAGTGTAGTTGTTAAATCGATTATTATTAACGACTTTCTTTGTTACATGTGTTGATAAACACACTTGACCAAGGCTTTATTGAGACTGGCCGTGTATAACTAAAAGTTGCAAGAATGTGCGTGGAAATATATACTCTCTTTATGTCTCTAAAGAGCTACGGACCAGTTTTTTGAGACTCCTCGGTTTCAATTACTTATTTAAATAAATAATCATTAATGTTAAAAAACTAAGAATTTCTTAAGGCGTTTCCCTGCCACCACCACCACTCTGTGAAGTATTTCCGAACCAATTTGGAAAACTTCCCTTCAGCTGCAAACTAAATTTAACCCTGGCCGGCCACGCACCCGCGCGCTTGGGTTTGCAATGTAGTGTCCATGGCGGTATCACAACTCAGGTTAGCCTCCTGCCGTTTACGCTTCTTTTACGAGTTATTAAAAATTTGACATTCGTCTATTTGTTATGTAATTTTTTTTGTGACTGATATCCTTACTTCCTACGGTATCTTTGATCAATCACCTTTAAACGCAAAGATTTCCGACCATGGCTAGATGTTTGATGCCTAACGACCCATTAGTGTATCCACCTTCTTAAGGTCCGCTTATTCTTTCCCTGTCCTTTCCATAAGTTGTCTTTAAAGTCCATCTTGCGAAATGCCCCGCCCATTGCCACTTCTGTTTTAGGGTATAATGTAAGACATATATCTTTCTTCGTTTAATTTTTTGCTTCTATTTTTTGTTGTTCAAAAATACATTATTAAATTGCCTTTGAAAGCTAGTAAGTGATTTAATTGCTATAGCAACCCGTAATCTGAAGTCCGGTCATATCCGAAAATTACGTTTTAATTCTCATTGGCTTTGCTTAATGTATGTCTATTCTAGATAGCGTTCTTTGCCATCTGGTTTTACTTAACTTGTACTAAAACATAATTTAAAAATACTCTATCTACGATTCTTGTCTTGTCTTGTTGTTAGTGGTGATGCAGTGTTGGTCTGAGGTCGTAAATTCAATCCCCGGCTGTGCATCAATGGAGTTTCATTCTATGCGCGCATTTAACACTTGCTCGAATGGTGAAGGTAAACATCTTGAGGAAACCGACATGTCTTTGACCCAAAAAGTCGATGGCGTGTTCCAGACACATGAGGCTGATCACCTACTTGCCTATAAGTCAAATCAGATACAGAAATCTGAGGCCCAGACTGATAAAGGTAGCGCCATTGATTTATTTATTTTATTTATCTTATATGGTGATCGTAAATTTTGAAATATGTTTTACCCTTCAGATTATAATACAGATATCACGCTTTAAAATTACAATAGTAACGTTAATGTATGGCGGAAATTTGTAATAATGGATGCGATATTGGCGTAGCAGATGCATTTGAGTGTTTTAGTGCGTGATCCGCTGATATAAAATAGTTCTCGCCAAACTTGGGAAATTAAAGACACAAATCAATTGGACATCTCGCTTTTCTTGGATTTTACTTACTTTAATATTGAAACGAATAAATTTAAGGTTTTATATACGACTTAATTCTTGGGAAGTTAGCGCTGAATATTTTAGTGGAATGTGGCTTAATTCTCAGCGAAAATGCTCAGACTCTCCTGTTTTATGCTCTTCCACGTTCAGATATGAAGAATTGTTAACTGTTTGATTGGTTTAAATTCGATTTGATAATATATGTTTTCAATTGCACAATTCGTACCATAGCCGCATACAAATGATTTAAAGAAATCTATAAAGCTATGACTGGGAGCTTAAAGATACATACATAACTTTCAAATCACCAATCAAGGCACTATTCGTTTTGGTATATAATATTATTGCATTGTCATCGATCTTTGACAGGTGCGCAAAATTTGAATTAAATATGTCCGTTTAAAGTGGGTCAAAATCAAGACCGAAGGAGTCGGTTACATACATACATACGTGAGAAGACGAAATAAAATCCGTAACTGGGAAAATATGGACAAGGAAAGCTCAGAACAGAGCAGAGTGGAAAGAAATGGAGGAGGCCTTTGCCGAAGTTGGGCAAACAGATGGGTTGTCGGTATCACCGACTCACTAGAGATAATAGTTTAAGTTTAAAATTATGTAAAATTTTCTGTCTGAATAAAGGCTTTTATTATTATTATAAAGGCATGAGGGTAAGCAATTGTTTAATTTATTACCGTCAAACATTCGCAATATTATGTAATGAGTAATTACGGAATCAATATAGGAGGGAATTAAAATATCATATTCTATAAGATGGAAAATACAAAACTTAAACAAAAATATTATTCATGAGAGTAATTTTTTTTAAAGATTATAAACAAATGTTATGCAATTATTTTTTCAACAATTTCTCCTGTCTTAGCCCAACTAATGGTCCATATTCCTAGCTTTACAGCTTACGAAAATTGTATCTCGAGCTCATGGGATCGATTCATCTTAAAAACAGAATCCGTAAATTGATGATGTTACTACCGTTATAATAAAGACTAGATATTTTTAAATTTTTACGGAGCAATCTATATAAAACATAGACTAAATATAATATATATCCCATATTTTTAGTTAGGTATAAGAAGTGTGGCTTGACTAAACAGTTATGGATCAGACGTACAGATTGCGTAATGCTTTTTGATATTGAACAAAATCTGCCTATAAGTGATTTTAGTTTGTAAAAATGTTTTATAAACCAGGTATATACCCTAAATATATAAATATAACAATAAACTAAAAATAAAATACTCTAATTTCTAAAATAGAAAAAAATCCAGTCCAATAACTTAGCCTATATCTTAAACGTCTCAGACTGAATTCATTCCCAAACTTTACAGCCGAGTGGGCCTTTAAAATAAGCTCAGTCAGTCATTCGAGATCCTCAATTTTACGAGTTCGATTGAGTCAGTCTGTACGTAGTGGCCAGTGGTATCTTTATGATGCCCAATAACTTTTTTACGACCCATTCACGATATAACATCTTAAATTCGCGAGTACTCTTCGGGCAGTAAAGATAGAGTTTATGTTAATGTAATGATTATAGAACTTGTGGTAATTACTGTTAAAATATATGCTCACAAGACCTTTTGATTTTCAAATAAAAAAGATTTTTCATATAATAACTTTTAACAGTGCTTAACAAATTAAATTACATAAAATTTTGTCCATTTATTAAAGTCATTGGTCGAATTTTGGCACCTGAGAGGTGTACCTAAATTCTGAAGGTAATTTAAGTCGGGTAAGCCCGGACACAACCATGAAACTATATGGGCGTTAATTTGAAACATTTAAAGAAGACAGGGTTTAGGAAATAATATGGACTTATGTGTCACAAAATGGGGTGTATCGGAAATAAAATTGAATTTTGATGTGTTAGACCAAACAAAGGGGCATATATCAAGTCTGAAGTCTTAAACACCTTGCTTACATGACCTAATGAGTGTATAAGTGCAGAAATTGAATCCACAATACAATACAAAAACACCTTGCTGGACGTAAAAAAAACTTCCTAAAACCAGCAAAACTCAAATATAATGAACTTCCTAAAACCAGCAAAACTCAAATATAATGAAAAAGTATTTAAATACATTTGAATATATTTATCACAATATAAAACAAAGCTGATCAAATGAGTTTTTATTTATCTTAATTGGACGTATTTATACGTTTATAACATGGTGGGATGGAAATCTAAACTAACAAGCCGTCTATGCGATCTTTGTTAAATAAATATAAATTAGACTTCTAAATTCAGTCCTTACGTTGTTAAACAGACATGTGTAATCTAAATTCAAGTACCTTTGGAAGTTAAGAAATAATAAATATAACAATAAACATAATAAGTATTTACCTGAATATCTTAATTATTAAACAAGTCTAGACATCGGCAACACGAAAATGTTTACGGTCGTCGCCACAAAACTTAATCCCTGTTTAAACGATAATCATTATTAGCATTAAACAGCTTTTAACAGCTTTGAATTATTCATATATTCTAAGTATAATTTTCTGACGGGAAATATAGAAGTTACATACAAAAATGTATGCCTCAGAACTCTTGTCTGTCTTAATAGGTAATGTTAGGTCATCAGACTTCTACCTGTGAAAATAATCAGTGGCGCTACAACCTTTTTAGGTCTGAGCCTCAGATTTCTATATCTGTTTCATGATCATTTGTCAATCTAATAGGCAAGTAGGTGATCAGCCTGCTGTGCCTGACACACGCCGTCGATTTTTTGAGTCTAAGACATGTCGGTTTCCTCACGATGTTTTCCTTCACCGTTCGAGCAAATGTTAAATATGCGACCTATAGCACTGCTTGACTTTAAACTTGACTTGATCGAAATATATAAGGTATTTATTTCTCATATAAAAATTGAATTAGTAATAGCACCGATCTGTCTTTTTTCATCACAGTAAGAACACAATTTGACAGTACGAGATGAATGAGCACTTTATCTATATAAATAGACATTGGTAATAAAAAATATTAATAGATTAGAGAAAATTGAAAAGATCCAAAACGACTTTATAAACGACTCTATGAGACCTATAATAAGTTTAATATCTGCATGTGACAATTTTAAAATTGATACTTTAGACTCTTGACGAAAACAATACGACTACATCTCATCATCTCAAATAAAATTAATTGCATCTCACTTCTAGAAAAATTGCCCTTCCTTTTCCTGCCTACCTGACTCGTAATCGTGCTTTGTTTTATGTTCCTCACATCAACACTAACTTTGAAAAAAACTTAGTTTTGTATCGCGCAGCTCGGACATACAACGACCAATATTTAAGCCTTGAGTTGTTTAAGCTATCGCGGAATATGGTTAAAAGGAATATTAAGAATATCCATAGCGCAAAATCACCTGCATCATGAGCATACACATACACATCTTCACGTACTTACCCTCACTTTTACAACATCACACCACACAGCCAATTTAGGTTTAGTTAAATGTATTGAATAATTTTTTGAGCAAGAGTTTCCACAGCGATTGGTAAAAATCAGTGGCGCTACAACCTCTAGGTCTTGGCCTCAGATTTCTGAATCTGTTTCATGATCATTTTTAAATCTAATAGGCAAGTAGGTGATCAGCCTCCAGCGCCTGACAAACGCCGTCGACTATTTGGGTCTATGACATGTCGGTTTCCTCACGATGTTTTCCTTCACCGTTCGAGCAAATGTTAAATGCGCACATAGAAAGAAAGTCCAGTGGTGCACAGCCGGGGATCGAACCTACGACCTCAAGTATGTGAGTCGCACGCTAAAGCCACTAGGCCAACACTGCTCTTTGGTAATGATAGTCTATTTCATGTCTCAAGCAAATCTTATATAAAAGTCTTAAATGGAAAATTAAGCGTGATTTTCGAAGCGATAAATTCACCTGTTCGTTGATTAACCGTGTCGCCGAGACGGGCCGAGGGCGCTTTTTAATTAAGGCTATAGTTTTATCACGATGTTCTTTTGTCCACACCCCTTGAGGTGGACTAGTGTGTAGGCCAGGAGAACATGAAATTCAATCTCTCCCATAAGTTTAGTCAAGTCAGGTCATATCATTTATTTCAATTAGACCACTTAAAATGGCACTTTTAAACGTCAAATAAAATATATAGATGATTCTTGTTGCCCCTTCCAAAAGGTAGTTTCGTGTGGAGAAGAATGGGCAAGAAACTCCTTACTCTGATAAAATAGGTTTAATTTGTGTGATTTACAGTGTAGAGTATATTACTGATATTTTTTTATGTGGGAAGAAAGATTCTGACTGTAATAAAAGCTTTAAAATACACTTCATATTGACACGTTTTAAATAAAAAAAATAAGTCAATATTAAGTAAACTAGTCAAAAACTTTTAAAATAAGCATTACAGCTTTTGATTACTAAAATCATGAGAAATTTTGGAACTCCGTAACTCAGCACGGGCATATATTGTTTCAAGGATCCTGGATTTATGGATCATTTATTTTTGGCCCTAGAAGAGTTTTTTGAACCCTCTAACTCGAAGTAACTTTATAAAACCTTTGTTGTCGTTGAATAAACTGAGATTTTCATTGTAGATAGAAAGAAAAAATGATAGCTGTAAAGACGCTCGTTTACTTGCCCCAATGCGGTTGACTAATGATAGTTAAGGTGAAAAATTAACCGAGTATATGTTACAGAAAACAATGTTCCCTAGCAATCCGCTCTTGTATTTTCATTTGTCATTGATTAATTGCTTAAATGTTCCTCGTTAATTATTTTTTGTATAAGCTTTTAAATCTTGCTAAAGAAATCTTGAAGTTTTTATGTGAAATATGAAGACGAACATACGCAAAATAAAACGCTCTTTTAATTAAATGTCATAATAAAAGCGGCAAATCAAATCAATACAAAACTTAGGTTGATTAAGTTCTCAATGAATATTTTCAGGAGGTAAATACGTGATGGACAAAAAGCTTTTATTTATATGAATTTAAGATTTATAATTGCGTAACAAGTAACACCCCTTTATTCATTTAATTAATCCTGGCTAATTGAGAATCTTAAAGAGAATTATAATAGATTAAAATCTAAAGCATTTGTTGTATTTGGGTAGATACGATTGATAAACAATATACAAGGCAGTTTTAGCCGCGCACCACCACTATGTGGAACCAGCTGCCCACTGAAGTATTTCCAAACCAATCGACTTAGGGTCTTTCAAGAAAAGAGCGTACCAATTGTTAAAAGGCCGGCAATGCACTCGCGAGCCCTCTGGGATTGAGAGTGTCCATGACTCACGATCTCCTGCCGGTTACCCCCTATTAAATTTCACGGATTGACAAATGATCATGAATTGTTATTATTATATTTCAACTGTCCCGACGCAGGGCTGGAGATGAATTTAAAATATTTTGGAAATAACAGTCATTATTTTACTCAATGTGTGTTACCTTATAATTATATAATTATTATTATTATAATGGTGATAATTGAAATCGATCAGGTAGTTTTACATTTATTTGTACAAATATACAGAAATTTCTTCTTATTAATATAATACTATCTGTGACAGTTTGAACAGTACGTATACGTAATATAAATTATTATTGTGTTTTTAGTACATATGGATGTGTTAGATTCTACATCGATATTAGAATTATTGGCAAAACATTACCTAACTTATTATAGTACATTAACCATAAAAAAATACAATTTCAGGCGTGTAACGGGCCGGGTGCATCCTGGACCTGGGGTGCCAGAACAGCAATCCCTGCTGTCTCCCTCGGCAGAAGTGCGTCAGCCTCCCTCAGGTCCTCACACATGCCTGCCACGGATCTCAACGTCGACGCTATCAAGGAGAAACTACTAGACAATCGTATACCCGAGTCGTGTGTATAAATTAGCGAAATTGTTCTAAGAAGGTATTTATTTGAAAGTTTACCTGGCTCTGTAGCCGTGCTGCGTATAATATTTGTGTAAAAAATATTGAACTCTCGTTTTAAGACGTTTCATATAAATACTTTCCGTAAGTGTTTACGACTCAATGGCACTGTGTCTCTCTAACGCAAATACAAAGACAAGTTACAGCGCTCTATAATACTGATTTATTGTCTGGCACTATTTCGCCATTTATTCCCAATTTTAGCCATCTGTGGCGATGATCTTTTGGACCGTGAATTTATTTTGAAATTAGAATTAGAACAGACCTAACTAGAAACATATCGGATCATACGATTTTATTTATATGCAAATTAAATTTATTACTACTTTATTTATTTTATATCTCAATAACGTTATATTTAACTCGTACCACATAAATATAATGATAAATTAAATTATATTTAAAAGACCTTTGTTCTAAAAACGAAATCTGTCTAAAAGTACATTTTTGCCTCTTTCTTTCTTACTATGTTCACGCTGGGATGAAAAGAGATAGGTGCTTTAATACGGTGCAATAAGACACGATTTTTTAATCAATAAAATAATATATACAACCCCTTCTTCTTTCATCCCTCTTCCTCTATTCAGTCACTTCTTTAGTTGACTAATTTGTCTCTTTCATCCTCTTAAAGCTACTAAACAGATGTTCAATTCCCTTAAGACACAGGAATAGAAAATGATATGATATATTCCTTAACATCTCATTATATCAACCTATATAGTATAAGATCCCGCTATACAACGACCTTCACCGAGATGCTTATTTAATGAAACTTATTTTATATTTAATTTAATATGTCAATAAATATAATCCATATGGGTTGCCTACAAATTTCAGTCCAAGTATGTTTAATTAATATTAAAACAAAATTTTTTTTTATAATTTGCATGTAGTAAATTTTTTGAACTTTTTTCAATCAATATTTTTAATCAGGGTAGTATTATATATGTATCACTATAACCTTCTTTTATACTAAAGATGTATATATACTTTAGTGTCACATAAAAAATATACACATAAATAATTAATTGATTAAAAACAACCTAACGTTTGCATATTCTATGGGCTTCATACGTTCGATTGGTATAGAATTTATCTAATAATCATACCGGTGAAATGTTTAAAAAAATATTTTTTTTTTAAATTAATTAAACATACTCTGGACTGAAATTTGCTAGGCAACCCATATGGATTGTATTTATTGACATATTAAATTATATATAAAATAAGTTTCATTAAATAAGCATCTCGGTGAAGGTCGTTGTATAGCGGGATCTTAGACCAATACATAATCACCTTTGATTCGTATAAGGTTATCGCAATTCAACTGTATTAGTATACTTTTTTTTTTTTAATTTATGAAAGATTGGTTTTTAGTATGATTTCGTTTAAGAATTGACTTTTATGGGATGTTAAATCAAATTGTGTGAACACGTCCTTAACACGATATACAGTCTACAATACGCAGAGCGCAGTGCGGACAATGCGGTGGTATGTACAGGCCTAACTCTATCATGTTATGTAAGTGGTAATTTTTCATTTTGATAGAAATTTTAGTTTAGTCCGGGCATCTAAATGCTTCAAACATGAACCGAGCGCCCGCAGTCGAAAATGGTATTTGCAAAATTTTCGTTGAAATATCCGATTTCCAAAGTTCCCTATTGACTTTTCATATAACACAAACGAATCTGAAGTGCAACAGAAACTTTCAAACAGCTTTAATTACGTTAAACCGAAGACCGATTTTACGTTTCATTTGTCGAGTGCATTTCAACTTTTCATTTTCGAAATTTCGAAATCGGATGTTTCTTTGACTCTTTCTATTTCCATTCGTTTTTCGATGGCTGTTCGTCGACTGAGGATTCTATCAAAATATCTCGCAATTAGCAAGAGTAAATCAATATAATTTTACAAATCAGAGAGCATTGTTGGCCTTCAGCGTGCGACTGTCATCCCTGAGGTCGTAGATTCGATCCCGGCTGTGCACCAATGGACTTTCTTTCTATGTGCGCATTTAACATTCGTTTGAACGGTGAAGGAAAACATCACGAAGAAACCGGCTTGCCTAAGACCCAAAAAGTCGACGGCGTGTGTCAGGCACAAAAGGGTGATCACCTCCTTAACTATAAGATTGGCAAATGATCTTAACAGATACAGAAATCTGAGGCACAAACCTAAAAAGGTTGTAGTGCCACTGATTTATTTTTTATATTATATAACTCAAAATTTAATATCACAACGGTTCACATCAAAATTCTGAATTTGTAAGATATTTTAATTTCTTTAAATATATATTCAATTCGGCAATTGTGTATACACTTTGATTCTACTGAGTACTGTTGGACAGAAAATAGAGCAGGGAAGTGGGCAGTGTGGTGAGGTCGCAAAGCTCAGGTAGTGAAGCGACGATATTACATCAAGAAGTACTTAGGATAATATTTCAGGCAGCAGTAGGTGTATTAGCAGTTTATTTCGTTCCGTATGCACTGAAAGCGATGTTCTTACGACATCATACAACCAGTGACCACTTTGTTGTAGTCATTTTATTCATAGGAAATAGGATGTTATATGATTCCATATCTTGGTTTTTGGGCGCTAGATCCATGAGCTATTAAAAAAATTCAAACGCAGTCGTAACGCAGTAAGAAGTTCTACTACTGCAAGATGAAAATTCCTTAACCAAATAACACTTTTTATCATTATTATTATATCACCAAAAGTGGAAGCTATTTCAGCCTTTATCACCTATATTAATTTCTTTATTATAGCCACTAGTATGTTTGTCGTTATCCGGATTTTTAAATTTTGTGCTGTCATGTTTTGTTTTGCTATGCTCTGTATCATATTTTTTATTAGTGAAACTTTTTGTGGATACATCCAATGTGCTTATTTTTTAACTTTTTTTATTGTATAGAGATGTATTGTATTGTATTGTATTCTGTTTTTTTTCCTAAATAAATAATTTGACGGCTCATTGGTTAGTACGCTTAGCTCCTTCTCTATCGTCCTTTAAATTTCTTCTTTACAAACATTACCTGTCCACATCGTATCCCTAACTTTAATAATAATAGGTACCTAGCAACTGTCGTGAGACCGATCTTAATCTTAATTTAGGAAATTAAAAATGATTCATGTGCACTTTTTATTATTATTTTTTTTTTTTTCATGTATTCTTTATTAGTTTAGTTTGTTTTTTTTCCTGTTTAGCTTCTTTTTCTAAACAACTAAATGTAATACATGTATTTTTGCACTTCTTGCCTATCTTATGTAATTTAATACTTTTTTTTTCTCACAGTGGTTGCCTGGAAGAGATCGCTCGAAAGCGATAAGGCCGCCAGTTGCTCTCCTTTTTATTTAATTATGTCAATTGTACTATATTAATGTATATGCAACGAAGTGTTAATAAATAAATAAATAAATAAATACCCCTGGCTGAGACAAACATCGATGTGATGAGCATTTGGTGCTGTGCTTAGGTCTTGGGTGTTTAAATATGTATGTCTATCTATCTATAATATGTATGTATATCCATTGCCTAGTACCCATAACACAGTCTTCACCAGCTTAGCATGGGACAATTGGTGTGAATTGTCCAATCATAAAAAAAATAATAATAATAGTAATCATAAAATAAATATTCCCTGTGCTTCTCTAAGCCAAAGGTGACGGTTTTAATACATTTTGTATAATTCTTTTTTGAGTATTGTTTCTTGAAATTACGCTCTTTTACAATCGTAGGTACTCATATAAAATTAAAATCCTCAGTCGTCGATATTTCATCGAATAATTAGTATTTTATTATGTAAATATTAGGATGTAAGTGACTGAATCTTTGCCACTTTTTTACGTGTCTCTAGTGGAATAACTAGATAATTCTTGTGGGATTGTAAATAATGAGGATAAAGTATTACTATCGGCAGAGTAAACTAGCGTTATGGACGCACGATGTATGTATCTTGTATAGATTCGAATTTCAAATGCTTCGATGGTAAAATAATATTTAAAATTGGAACTAGTGACATATCGTATTTTATTTCTAAATCACTGTGCATACTCTATGTAGCTTTAGGCTATGTTCAGATGGCAAAAACTTGACGCGCGTTTTCAAATCGCGCGACTAGACATTGTGGTATTTTCATACAACTGTTCACATGAGCGCGCGTCAACGCGGCGCTCAGAGAAAAAGTCTCTAGACGCAGGTGATCGCGCGTTGACGCGCGCTTTGATATTAATGTAATGTCCGTTTGCTGTTCAGATGAGCGCGCGATTTCATCGCGATCGCATGTAATTTTGTTAATTTTCGTAATTATATTTTGTTCTCGCATTTAAAATGAGTGAAATTGAAGATATTGACATCGACTTACTAATCGATGAAGTAGAAAAAAAGGCCAGCAAGTTGGAATATAGCAAATTTGTATAAAAAATATAATATAATTTGTATTTTTTTTTCAAAATTGGATGAACCCAATGTGTACGTTTTATTTTTCTATATTTTTCTTTATAATATAACCACAAAATAATAGCCTCTTCCACGTCCATTTTCTACGTTCTACCGAACTAGACTAACGAGTACTCTCGCAACGCGCGTTCGCGCTCATCATCTGAACGCTCTTCAAATTTGATCGCGCGTTGACGCGCGATAACGCGCGTTACATGTGAACATAGCCTTAGAAAAAGCTTTTTCGTCAAAATCTTTTTGAATTTCGAAACATGTTCTACATATCATTTACAAATCTGTTAAATTTTATTCTATCATCGAACAAGAACTCTCCTTAGAATAATTTAGCTAAACTTAAGTGATTTGTTAATATAAAGTTTAAAACTCAAAGAGTTCGCCCTATTGTTGTTTATTTTGGACGGATTAAAGGTTGTCTTGAAGTATACATTGTTTTATTTCACTCCTACCTTTTACCCTATAAGATCTCTACTTACTAATAGCACAGTAAGACCAATAAATCGAACCTTTTATTACACTAATTCAAAATCTTACTACAATACAAACACACAGGTAGGATAATCATCAGACATATTTGGTTTTTTTATGTATTATTTTATGCACACTATCATTATAGTGAATATGGATGGCTGGAAAAATATTGTGTTAAATAGCAATTCAGCCGCCCGATAAAAAAATAAAGAAATAAATAGGAAATAATGCCTTTTACCCTAAGGTCGCAGTATGTAAGGTTCGACCCTTCAGACTGCTCCAAAGCAGATGAACAATACGCACTAAACCACTTCAGATATTTCCCATACCGCCACACTGTAGAGACCATGGAAGTCGCTTACCGGGATACTAGGACGTATTTAAATAGCTCTTACATACTATTTGAATAGTCTCAATAGATTTATACATCAAGCTTACAACATAATTGGAGTAAAACATCTTTAGATGTTATAAAAGCGAATTTAGTAGAGCATGAATTCTGACAAGCTCTTATCTATTGCACACGAGTGGACAATTTTAAAATTATCCTGTTAATTTCAAATTATTCTAGTCCTATATACGCCTTAGAGAAGTAGTGACAAGCTATCTTGCCCAAAATGGATTGAATTGAATTTTTTTAATTCTCCTTAAGCTTATGATATACAGCCTATTTTTTGCCAGTTCTTCTTGCCCGCTCTCCGCCCTTGACTGGCGAACTGGTAAATGTAAATTCTGTTGAAGTTCATATGTGTACTTGTTTGCCTATATAGATAAAGTTATATTGAGTTTGAGTTTACAGAACCTCATCAAGAGGCACCTAAAATCTTTATTTAGCTAGTGATTTTCCGTTCTGGTTTTAATAGACACATCTGAAATCTATAAAACAAAAGTGGTTTAAAGCAATTGAATAAAACTAGGAACTTTATTTGAACCACTTTCGAATTGTAAATTGCCCGGAAGTCGCTTCACGGTCCAAACAGTTTCCGTATCCTGTTGACAGTATAGCTACACCTTTAGCAGAGTCGTTAGGGTATATGAGGCAAATGAATCATAATAGCGTCAAGGCTCGTAAAGGCTTTTACTGTCGTTTCGGCACACTCGCGCTAAGTGTCATTTGAATGGATGCCTTTTTGTTGTGTTAAAGATATAAGTTACACTTGGAGTTCTGTAATTTCGGCACTTAAAGATAATTGCAAGATGCAAAATTTATTGCGCAGGTATTTTGCGGTGGTGGTTTTGGGAAGAATATCAGAATATATATAGCTCGCCCATGAATATTGTAAATATTACCGATGTAGCCGGGGCGGGGCGTATTTCGCGAGACGCGTAACACACCATTTATGAAGTAGTTTATTGTAATTAATATAATGTATCATGTTTTTTGTAAAAAAAATTAGAGATAGAAAAACTCCCTGGACACAATGGCAGGAGAGTAGAGTTTTATTAAATAAAATAAAAAATTAAGATAATCTCTAATTGCAATACGGAGATTTAAATCTCATGAGAAAAAAAACAATAAAAATGTTAAATATCACGCCGTCGTACGTTATAAGTTCTTCAAAGTCCATCTACAAATTACCAAGTTTAAATAAGCTGCCTCTCTTGATAATGGCGCTGGACAGAAACCGGTGGAAACAGATTTTCCGCTCCAGATGTTTCCTTGCTGTCCACGACGCACAACCCTGACCTACTGACGTAAGAGTTATAAAATGTACCAACGTGTTACCTTAGCTAATTGATGCCCAAAAGTAGTAAGTATTTGAAACATTAATTTCTCTGTAGTTCTCTATCAAGAATGTAAGTTATGACCTCGGAGAATTTAACGATTTTAATAATGACACAAACGTGAAAATATATTTTATTTCAGAAAGCAATTACATTTTATATAATAATGTTATTAACTGTCTTAAAACTAGAATATAAATTAAATTAGTAATTTTAAACATTCACCTAGAACATCTAAGTCAGAGTACTTATATATTCCTCAAATCCTATTTACTAGAATAAAATACGTTGAAGGCACAGTTATCTCTATCTATCAAAATAATAAATAATTGTCTTATATTAATAAACAATATTCATAATGTAATTATATGGAAACTATAATTCATTAATAAGAAGTGTTTAATTGATTTTAATTTATTTATTTCGTATAATAATCAATAAATAATAATAATTATGCTAATATTTGTCCTTTTCTTGTCGGCCTCTTCAATGGTCAAGATTAGAATACGTCTAACAGTTAAAGGCGAAGTTATCTATTTATTTCTATAACTTCTATAATCAATAATAATAATAGTGAATTATTGTTACAAGCGTGGATTGGAAGAGAGAAATTATAAGTAACTCTTTTAACAATAAACTATATTGACTAGGAGTATATAATTTATAATCGATTATATGTTTAATAGTTTTAACAATCAATAAGTGTCAGAAATTAACTTAGGTAATAAATTAATTTCTATCACTTATATACCTACCTATTAAAACTTTGAGTAATACAATTAATTGAAAGAATTGTTTTTAACCTTATGCTTTAACCAAAACATAGTGACGTTCATGTATTTTTTTGAAGATTAATAACAGTTAATAGTTGGTTGAAACAAAAAATAGTTGCTTCTGTCCACCAGGACGTCGAATCAATTTGTAATTACCATAAATAAATATTTTGTAATAATATAATCAAATTTATTTATTTTATTTCGTTATTTTTTATATGATAAACGAATCTACGGAGAAGCCATAAATAGCAGTTACTGCAGCCCATTGAGGTAGCCGGCCTTTAAAACTGCATACGGCATTTGTAACTAACAACGTCCATGTGTTGATACATAACAGGTTGCCTTAAAAACAGTTTAAGGACGGCAATTATTATTTAATAAAAAAACAGTGCAAGAAATGGCGAGCTTACATTAATATGAATATTAACGACTTCTATCCTTCAAATCTACGTAAAAGTATAAATTTAATGAGATTATCGAAACAAATATTCACTAATATCTGTCGGCTAAGAATAATTCCAAACCGTTAAATCTCGTATTGTATCAATAAACTTTATATAGAATTAATTAGATTAAAATTTCGGGCCTAATACGGATTCGGTATTATGGTTGTATTACGTAAGCAAGTCTTGGCAAAGCACATCCCCAACTCCACATCTCTTTCGTTGCAATGGTTGATCAGTAAACGTCAATGCTCTCCTGGTGGATCACAGTATCCTGCCGGAACATTTCTACATCCGCCTGACTATCTGCTTGCACCAGCTTAGCACGGCCCTCCTGAGAATAGAAACATAATATCACTCAAGTCCTTCCTTGTCTTAAATTACGGCTGAATTCGCGGAGAGCATAAATTATTACAGTGGAGACAAAGGTGAAAAGTGGTATTTAGTTCAGATAATATATTTTTGTATAGTATAGGGGGGCCGTGAACAGCGTTGGCCTAGTGGCGACTCTGGACTCTGGACTCTGGCTGTGAACCAATGGACTTTCTTTCTATGAGCGCATTTAACATTCGCTCGAACGGTGAAGGAAAATATCGTGAGGTAACCGACATGTCTTAGACCCAAAAAGACGACGGCGTGTTTCAGGCACTGGAGGCTGATCACCTACTTGCGTATTAAATTGAAAAATTATCATGAAACAGATTCAAATCTGAGGCTCAGACCGAAAACGGGGTTTTAGTGCGATTGATTATTATTATTATTATTATAGAGGGGCAAACGTGCCTATGGGATGCCCAAATAGGGCGGTTACCGCAGCCCATGGACGCGTTTTGGGTGCGTTTCCGGCCTTTGAGGGAGGACTTCACTATTTTTTTAAATATATCTGTTTGTTGTAATAAATAAAATCCTTATGATATTCAAAATCTGTTGTGAATTTCTAGACAGTTTTAAATTATACAGAAAAAAGGTTGTTTAGGTATCTTGTCATTAAAGTACATACTAGATCTTAGTAAATAAAACTTATATAACAAGTTACATAATATAGTATAATTCTAAATGTATGCAGCAGCAATATGGACATATGGGTGGGGTTAATCACCATCCCTGGCATATATTAAAATTATATTACGTAAGATATATAACCTTATAGAATTGAACATTTATTTAACTAATGGGAAAGGCTGACTTTACTAGAGTCTGGCTAATGAAAGAAGATAACGAAAAAGCGCGGCAAATTAAAAAAAAATAGTATGGTATCTCTTAAAGTTTGATATATTTTGTGGATTAAACTTACTTGATACTTGATTTTATTTTATTATTTTTTACAATGATAGTAACGTATTTAGTCTTTTACTATTGATACTTAAAATGACTAGCATGGAAAACTAAAACTATATTTATTATACACCACAACTTTATTCGGAATAATCAAAATCAGAATCCAAAAAATCAATCTGCATAGATTCATAAGAGTCATTGCTGTTAGTACTGTCTCTCACATTGATTATGAAGCTTTCTAAATGTTTAGGCTATATGAGTAATTGCATGAAGTATCAAGGCAAAAATCATACTAACCTAAGAAATTCAATGACATTCTGTGTTGCCATCCGAAAGTTTTCAAATAATTCAATTATCTTCTTTCATTAGCCAGATATATATTTACATTATTTTTTGTAATATTATTGAAAAATTTCACCTACAAGAGGCATAAGGGTTGTCGTAATTATCAAAGGCGTGTGAATTATTAAATTGGAATCACAAAATGTATGCCACAACCAGGCGTCAGATGTCGGCGGAATGTCACAATGTCACGACATTTAAATGTTATTAATATTGTTATATTTATTTTCATTCTCATTTAAAATCTGTTCTCGTATTGTAGTGTTTTATTTAGATTATAAATATACTATTTTTCTCAAACTTTAGGTGTATTTAATACGATATTACGAGACTCCCAACTTTTTTTCCTAACTATGGAAAGTAAGCTTTGTAAGAGGATACTAAACATTTCTGTTTCTTTTCACGCATGAGACAGTTATGGTAAATAAATTGTGCGTGTACTAGGTGTACACACGTAAGAAGTGAAACTTCTTTATGATCTTATTTTTCGAAAAATGATCTACTATATGCAACTTTACAGAAATTCTTTAAATTAGATAAAGTTTAACAAAAGGCTTTTATTATCATAGACATGAATACAAATATTTCATTTTACTTTACTACTACGAAGATTATTATAGAATTTCATTAATTGTAATAGAATTATTACTATCATTAAAAACGTGACGATTTGCTACAAAATTTCTCCCATACGTCGATAAAGAAGTTTCATTCCAACGCCGATAAAGAAGTTTGACTTCAAAAAGCAACATGGCGCTTACTTTTTTTTGAAGTTTGCGCCGAAAAATGTGAAGCGTAACGAAAAAATGTTACACTAATTTTTTTTTCCATAATCCCAAATACAACACAACATACGATTAAACACTTAATAATGGATACAATTAGATATTTAATTTTTTGCGTATAAATATAACAAACAAATAATAATAGTAAATCTGCTAATGTTTATCATGATAGGCTTTTGTGCGTTTCAACTGGAAACTATTTTTTTGTCGGTAAGCGAACCGACCACAGAATATCACGAATATTTTTTATAGTCTAAAGTAAATTCAGAATTAATTTAACTGTTTTCTGTTGACGTTCATAAGTAATTGTCTACCTATATGAATAAAGTTATTCTTAGTTTGAGTTTGCATAGCGACTGAAGCGTGTCTTATACTTTTGCAAAAATTCAATTGTCTTACTTGATAAATAAAAAGTAATCGTTGATCTAAAACAGGTCTCAGTTGTCCATAGAGCAGTAGCGCAGAGCAGAGCATCGGTATATTGTGATAAAAACAGCTTAAATCTATTATGTCTGAACGTAAGACTAGACTTAAATTAGCCAGTAGAAATCTATTAGAAGAAACAACTCGATTTTGTTTGTAACTTGTTAAAACGCAACTTTGTTTGTTGTATCTAAGTTGCGAACTTTAGATCGACTGATTACAGCTATTTTAGGAAACCGGAAAAAGTGATTGGATACGTGGAATATTCAAGGCTATCTGAATGCTTAGCACGAACAAACTATTTATTTAAAGTCTCGTGTCACACTGTTTAACTAACCTCCTCCGAAACGGATTTTGTATTCGGTAAGTAAACTATTTTTTTATACTTCAAATCGATGTATAATAAAGCGGGTAAGCGGTAAGTTTTTTGATATGATTTGACATTTAAAAACAAAATAATACTTAAATTTCCCTTCTAGTACTAACCCCATTTTTAATAGCTACGTATATATTAGTTGGCCGGGTCAGTTACAATATAATAATAAAACAAAGAAAATTGCGAAATGGTAATCCTCTATTTATTTATGATGTACTGAGAGAAGATTATCTTCTCAACTACATATGTATGCAATAAGAATCTAAGTATTTTTGCTTCTCCGGAGAAACTGAATTAAATTACTATAACCAAGCTTATTAGAATTTACTTAGTAGATGATACACACTAGGGATCATTTTTAGAAAATACCTACTGATCTATAAGATAACACTATAATAATCGCGTTTTTTAAAGTGCTACAATCGACTAAGATGTATTTGACAATAATTGTCACTTCAAGAGATATAATTGAGAAGTTAGTGTGATACAATTTTCTTTCTATGCTATGAGCACGGAACGTCTTTATTTCAGCTAATTGTTTGTAATCTGTGCATTCTATTTTCAAAAACCTAGACTATCAAATTACTATGATTTTCTAAAACCCAGTTTTTAATATAATCATTAACGAACGAATAAATTCTATAGGAAAATCTAAGCAGCGCGTGGTGGTCACTAAACATAAGTACGAAAATTATTGCTCGATTGGATCTTTTGTCTATGCAAATTGTAAGGAATATCAGTGTATTCCAACTGGCAATTTTGTAAATTAAAAAAAAGTAATAATATTAATCACGTTTATTCCATGAAACTTATATGTTAACAAAGATGTATGTATATATATTATATATGTTCATTATTAAAAACTGATTAATAAACGTATTTGTGTGAATAAACAAATATTTTTATATATATTTATTTATACTTATAATATATTTGCGGATCCGACAGACATCCTGTACCCACGTCAAATCTAATAACGTATCAATCTCGACTCCACTTGAACACACAAAAAAATTCATCAAAATCCAGCTGTTTAGGAGTTTAATTACATATACACAGAAGATTTATATATTTACCAGCTTTTTGAAGTTATACTTCTTTATGCGCGTTATGATAAATTTATGAGAGTGAAATTTTACGATGCGCGCGCACCGTGACACAAAATTATCAGAATGAAGTTGCCCACTAACGAATTCTTTTTAAACCAGCCGGGCGCCGAGCGTGCGCGAGCGAGATGGGAATAACACAATCTACAAGTAAAAGGAAATAGAATATGCGTGAAGATAGCAGCTATGCCAAGAATTTTGAATATTATAAAATAATAAATAATTATTATTATTAATATCAAATTAATAATATACTAAATATTAAATTAATAACGTTAAATATTTATTATTTATATATTTTAAAAAATTAAGAAAAATAAGAAAGCCAAAAAAGTATAACTTCTGACGCGCGTACATTAGTACACGCACCCTTTTTTTTAATTGCTGTAATAGATAAATAGCCTAGATACCGACTGCAGCGCTATCTGCCGGTTTGATTTGTCAATCTAAACCGTCCAGGGCGCCACGCAAACGCATACGAGACAATTCATTCAAATCGGTCCAGCCGTTTAAGAGGAATTCAGTGACATACAGTAGAGTAGACACATACAGTAGAATTATATATATATTAAACATTTACCTTTGGATGCATCAATATGAACGGCAGCTCAGCGCTCAGCTCTCCATTCAAAGCGCCAAGATACAGCTTCACCTTAGCGCTGTAGCTGACGATGATACCAAAAGCATCACGCTGCTCTGGTTCTAGAAGCCTATAGAAGTAAGACTATTAATTTGCTTGGCATGCTAAAAACTTTATAATCCATATATGTATTATTTTTAATAAATAAGAAAAAAATATAGGGGTGCTAACAAGCGATCTCTTCCAGGCAACCTTAGTAAGCAATAAACTTAAAAGAAATATTAAGGGTTAAAGAAGTGCAACAACAAAATCAAAATTAAAAGTACACCGAAGCATTATAGAATTCAACCAAAATAATACAAAAAAAAATAACCTAAAAACGAATTTCACGGATTCATGAATTACAATACAATGCAAAAGAATAAGAAATACTAGAATTACAAAAGTCAAGTTGGAGCAGGATGATTAAGAAATAAGAAAAGTTTTTGTAGAAGTATTTTAAAAGATGTTAGGGAGGTAGCATCGTATGGAGTCAGCGTATTCCACAACTTAATATACTTTTTAATTAATCATTACTACTACTTTTTATGTCCCTCTTATTCTTCATACCGTTAACACAGTCGATTACAAAAGATTTAACACAGTCGATTACAAAAGATGGGGACATGTAAAAATGGTATGTAAAAAAATGAATTTGCCACAAGTAATTTAATCTATTTTTGTTTTATTGACTTTTTTGCGTAAAATTAAAAGATATTTCTAAAAAAAGTTTTTAAATACCTAACGTTTATTATTTAATTAAATTTAAAAGTTTTACTAGGCATTCAATTTACTGTTCGATTGCAATAACGAATAAAAATTGTTATGGATGGCTAGTGTTATTGCTGTGCGTAAAAAATATCGCATGCCGTAAAAACATAAAAACAGTGACGTTTCGTCAGAAAGAATTACCCTCATTCACAATATAAAGCTACTTACAAAGTGGTAGAAGCCAAAGCGCTGTCATGGCGTTTCAGCTGGGCATCCAGAGCTAAGCCACGACGGTCACGCAATGGCGTTAATTCTGGACGAAGTTGTACCACCTTCTGCATAGAGGCGCCGGGTTGCAGTGGACACCCGTCTCTGTAATATTGTATAACTTATAGTGTAAGTTCAAGATTTAAACAAGCAAAAGACGTTTTGCGTCATCATCGATATCATATGTTGCACCTCATAGTTATGGGCAAATTTCAAGGCAACGGGCTGGGGGAAGGAAGAAATCGTGGTTTCGGAGCGTACGGGAGTCGACCGGTTTTACATCCGCCGAGGAGCTTTTCAGACTAGCGCAAGATATCCGACAATTCAAGACATAATTTAAATAAAGTATCGTGTAAATATTTACTTAATTATTAAATTCATATAAATTAATGACTTAAACAAATGAATATTAAAAAAATATTGTTAATGAATTCAGCTTTATGAACAGTTTTTATATCATGACTATCATATTGTTAGGCTTATCAGTAGCTCAAAATTATTTTTTCCATAGATAGATCGTATAATATTACGTAAGGTGTATAGTTTAGTTAAGGCATATTTGATTAAAGAAATATTTCCACTGTAAAGCCAGAACAGCCAGCAAAAACCTCGTATATAAACTTTTCCAAAGCCAATTATTAATATTAATACAACTGAAATAAATCGTATACGATTTAAACAAAACAGAAGGAGAGAATCACTCTCATATATATATAAACCTGGATTCCATGGAAAATATAACATATACTTACTGAGTCTCAATGCTGCATACCACATTGCGGTACTGTCCATTCTGGAAGAGAACCACATCCACAGACTGCAAGATGCAGGCTTTGATTTTCTTAACAACCTTGTTGCTATGGTTACGGACGCTTATATTGATCGCGATCGTCTCACCATGAATGTACAACTGTAGGGTTTAAAAGAATTTTATATTTATTAGAATACTTTGAATTTTCGGGTCTCTGGGTTAAGTCCGACCTGATAAGGGCTAGGTAGGGTTAGAAAGGATTTTCTTTTTAGTCTGAAACAAACTTAGGTAGGAAAATACATTTTTAATTAAACATAATACTGAATAATGAATTTCTGGACTGGGATATTAAAATTTTGTCTTTGCTTCGAATGGAGTTGTTGAGAGATGTTTGACACAATTATTTCATTTAAATTTCATTTTAATACAAAGTTTTTTCTTAAAAGTAAAAAGCAATAATCAAAACAAGAAAGCCTTTGCATGTCCTATATTTTATATAAGTATATAACTATAATATATATTCTTAAATCTTTAATAAAGTAATTAATATATAAATAAATAATTCTATATAGCAATACCTTGAATAGTCTCCTCCAATAGTTGTTTGTTATTTCTTTGGTCGAAGCTCCTAACATTATATGTAAATCTTGTATGTCACAAACCGAAATATAAAACAATAATTTAAAGGCATATGTTTAATACCTGCTTATCCAAGGTGAGTTCAAGCTCCAGTTGTCCAGGGGACAGCACAAAGTCCTTCCTGACCAAAGTGCATGGCTGAGGGCCTGGCTTGTTAGGAGCGAACTGTACCTTTCGGATACCCAGAGCCACTGTGCTCCTGAGAAAGAGTAAACAATGTGTTTAAAATTATTTCTGATGTATTGATATTTTTAATAGATTTATTACAGATTTAGATTGAGGTTATTCACACTATATCGATCGAATATACCTAATCTAGTTATATCTATTCTTATCGAAACAAGCTAAAGTTTTTCTTACCTTCGGTGAGATCTGTCAATTTCAGTATCTCCAACAAAGAGCTTCATGTAATAGTGGACACCACACGGCTCGCCCTCGTCTTCCAACCCTGGCTGCAGTGTGACCGACCCAGGGGAGCCAGCTGGCACTGATAGACGGAAGGGCAAGGCAAACTGTCCCAATTTCTTCAGGAGCCTTTCCTGAAGGAATAAAAAGTGTTAATAACAATAACATAAGCCTAGGGGTCTTTTGATAATTTTCTTTAATCTAAGCTAATCAATCTTTTATGTTTCATATGTCATATATTTTTGGTTAAAAAACAGCATCTTAGCTAGTGTTAAGAAAGGAGCTAATGCAATGAAACCATTGTAATAAAACACTACCAAAACTTCAAGCTGTCAGTTGCCTATGTCAATACGGCTTATTAGAATCAAGTAAATGTTAAAAATAGGGTTGTTCATTTTTAATTTATTTAATTTATAACGGTCATCACCAAACATCTTAACGCTATTTAAGTTTAGATTTATTTTGTGGCTGTTCACCATATTTATGATTTGACCGTAATAACTGACCTAATCGATAGATACCAAATTGCTAGATTCGGAACTTAGCCGCATCAATTCCGGGTGTAGTGATTATTTTTTGGAATTGGAATAAAATATGCTAACAACAGTATTTACGTGTCTTCCCCTCAAGGTAGTGTCTAATATTGTGAAGATACTGCAAAAAACCGATGGCAATGCATTCATTTGGTCTGAATAATAAGGATGTTTTGTGTTACTCAATATCTAGGTTTCACTTGTGCTTGAGGTAAGTGATATTGGTCTTCTTACAATATTAAGCTGAACGCCGCAGCAACGCACTTGCAAGCCTTCTGGAAATGTGAGTGTCCATGGGCGGCGGTATCACTTAACATCAGGTGACCATCCTGCCCGTTTGCCTTCTATTCAATTATAATAGAATAATGTTAAATTATATTCTGTTAAAGTTCGTACATTTATCGACCGACAAATATCTATAACCAACTTAACAATTTCTTCAACTTTATCGTCGATACTAAAGAGAAATAAAACACACAACAGTTATCAAATCCCTATTAACTCTTCTTCGCAACACAGTTTACTAACAGGAAATTTCATAAAAACAAACCGGAAATCGTTTGAAATCGGTGTAAAGTTTGAAGTTTTAAATCTTAGAGTTACATTTTTGATTCTATATATCTTTGTTAATCCAATAAAATTAAAGTTACTTATTCAGTTAAATGTGGCTTGGCTGTGTTGGTTAGTAATAAAAAGCAGCTATCATGGGGCAACAATTGTATGTTTTTTTTAATAAAGAACTGGGCAAAGGGGCAGAAGGCTTATCTAGCGTTAAGTGATACCGCCGCCACCTATAACACACAAATCCAGAGGGCTCGCGTGTGCGACGGCGTGGCGTTGTAACAGCTTAATACTATTATAGACCAGTGCCGATAATTTTTGAAACCAAATATAATTACAGTAGGATGAAACCCATTAGAAAAGCAGGGGAATATGATCAAAATAATAGGAAAAATAAATTACGGTCGATCTGAGGTCGGGAAAGGGTAGGGGGGAGTTTTAAGGGTAAAAAACGGTTTATCTCGATTTCCGGCAAAACTAAAAGTCATATCGAAGAAAGTTAAATGGCAAAGTTGTAGGTAATAAAAAGATCTAAAACTTTTGTATTCACACATTTTTCACATAACCTCAAAATTTATGTGAAAAATTCAAAAAACCAAGTTATTGGTTTTTAATTTTTATCTTTTACAAATTTCTTTTTTTTTTAACGAAATTTGGTGAAAACTTACCTTATTATGTCCCAAATATACTGTAATTTATTTGATTAAAAATATTTATTTTTTCACCTTATTTTGAATTAATATCGAAAAAACACCCTAATTTTCAATCGAAAATTCTGACGTCAAAATTTCACCTTTTTTCAAAAAGTTGGTGTGCTTTCAGTTCGTTGAAATCTCTACTTTCAAGTAGGGAAGGGTATGACGGGTCTGGATAATACTCGGAACAAACGCAAGATCAATTTCCTCGTACTATCTAAAATTAATAATTCTTTTTTGGGAAAAGGGATACCTACTCTTCTTTAATAAAATCCCAGAGGCTCTTTTATCTCTGCCTTTTAATAGTTTTTTTTAAATGTATTAAACAAATACACAGCTTTTGTGGCTTACTATAAAGTTAACGATTATCTAGTTGATAAAAAGGCCTGGGACTAGTGCTACGAGTAGACAGGCTACTTCTAATTAATTTGCGATATTTGATTTAAAATAAGTGTTGTTTGATGATTTGCTATTTTAAAAGAGTACCGAGTGTTTTTTACGCCGGCTTTTTCTCTCGGCCTACACCCTGTCTTCTTTGCCGATGAGTAGGGATGCCTACAAATTCAAATTTAATCACGTCGAATAAGTGATACCTGTATCTTATGTTCCATAATAAACATATTTTTTATTTTAACGCAGACCACGGAAACCTACGTCCTGTGTGACATTTTTTTTTAAACAAATGAATGCGTTGTTATTTTTGCAGTCTCGTCTTCTCAATATTATTAGACCACACCTGTTTCTCACACATGAATGACGCTAGTGTGCAACTATTACAACACAATACTTTAACTACATGACAAATAAGTAACTAAAAGTAATGGATAATATAATTTTTCGACTGTTAGTTGAATGTGCTATGCCAGTAATAATTAGATGGCGCTCGGCAGAACGCCGCATTCGCCACGTAAATCAAATTTATTTGGGGATTAGCACTTGGTTCACGAAAAGCGACAATGAAGTAAAATTATAATAAAGCTGTGATAAACTAGTTTTAGAGGTCAGGTTAAACCGCTTACATGGGAAAGCCGGGAAATTTAACTTTTACGTTTGCGGGTAGTAGTGTCGTACCCGCAAATTAAAAGAACCTACAGCTTAGGTTTAATTGATTTGTAAAAACTATTACGTTATTAAACAATTGTTTTGAGGACTTATATTTTTCTTCAAGCAACATTTTTAACAATTTTTTTGGTGATTCTTTAAAGTATTTTATACTAGTTTTTTTAAACGCAAAAATGTAGTCGTTTTATGATAGCCGAATGTTCATAAAAACCTGTGGGACGATTAATGCACCAATTAGGTTGCAGTGGCGCTACGATGAAGATAAGCTTACACGCTAGCAATATAGTCGTATAAAAGGGACAGCCTTGCGATTCTGTAACTCACTATTCGAACTCTCACGGCGGTTTTCGCAGCGGCGGTCGCACTCAAATCAGTCGTGAAGCAGTCATTTTATGATTTGGCATTCTGATAAGGAGATGAGTTACAGAATCGCAAGGCAGAATCGTGAGAACTTACATAAATACAGTCAAAACCGGTTATAACGACATTGAAGGGACCGTATAGTTGCCGACGTTATATCCGATAGTCGTTATAAGCAATGCCATGTACACAAGATACAGTACATATGTATTACATAGTTATCGATCTAGAATAGGTAGGTATGGGTTATAATATGGTATGTTAATATTATAATATGTAAACGAGTCAAAAAAGAAACAAAAATATTTATTACGAAATAATTAGGTACAAAAGTAATCAGTCAGTCTGTTTTTTTAGCCCAGTCTCAAATATTTTTTCATTTTACGTTTCCCATACTCCTCAAGGTATGAGTATCACCAGTATCAAACTGTTCGTTAAAGGCAACAAATTTTTTGCAAAATCGTTACAGCGAAGCCCGGATCGTTGTCCACTGAAACTGTTCGTGGGAGAAATCGTGGAAGCAAATATTCATTAATGCTTATAATTTAAAATCGTTTGTATTGTTTTGTTTTCTGGCATTGTACTGAGATGTCGCAGTTACAGAATTGTCAAGCGGTGCAGAATAGTTTACTAGAGTTGGGAACTAGGAATGAGATACAATCTTTACATAAATAATAAAGAAATAAAAACTTTATTTATGACGGGTTGTGGAGACGAAATATTCGAGAATATCAAATCTGAAGGTCGCAACGAAATTTGTCTGTTGTTTTGTTCTTGATACCTGAGTACGTGTCAAATCATAGGCTCGCTTTTCTGGAGCTGGGTAGATCTGTTCCGAAGCAAGGTAGAGTTCCTTATAGAAGTTGACCCCCATGACCTCATCCTCCTCTCGGCCATATCGGAAGGTACATACAACCTGAGCGAACACCTTGCGCCCACGCACGTATTCTTCATCAACGACGACAATGCCATCTAAATAAAAAATACTTTAATGAATTAAAAACTGCTTGTATGGAAAGTCGTACACTTGTTTGGGCTATTTACTCTTCAAAAAGTAAACGATAGTATAAAACTGTTTAAGTTCTATTGTAATAAGTTTTAAATTGAGTAATTAAATTACAATACCGAGAGTAATAAAGAAATATTAGATATTATAATATTTGTCGACACGACATCCTTTTATAAATGCACAAAAACTTAGATTACATTTAAAACATGAGTAAACGTAAAAATATTAATAATCAGTTGCTGTTACGTACAAAGAAAACAGATTATTATTCAACAAATTGCTATTATATAATAATAGGCGCAAAATTTTGCTGGTTTCCAATTTTTAAAAAACATTAAATAAAATCTTCTTATACTATAATGATTCATATAAATTTAAATTTTTGGATTTGATTTTTTTTACGTATTTCTGAACGAATGGTTTTCAACACACTCGTAGGAAGCTTTGTGTTTATTTAAAAAAACTTAAAATTGATGCAGTTTCATTATGGAATTCGTACTATCCGTTAGAGATAAACATCTCGCTAATTTATTAAAAGTCTTATGGGTAAAACGTATGTATTCGTTTAAATAAATCTATCTGTCTATATAAATATCGCTAAATATGTTGCTAAGCGCGCGGCTGGACCAATTCGAGTATATTTTTTTAATTTATACCTACCGGAAGGTTTTATAGAGTGAAAAAAAAACGAATTAAAATCTAGTAGTTAGTAGTATTTCGGAAAAGCGAACAGTTTCTATGGGGTAGCATAGCAAAATGTTCCATATGTTGGTATGTAAACTAATCAAAAAATCTAAATCATTAATTCATACAGGTAGCAATGTACACTTATGAACGTCAAAAACGAAATATATACTAAATGCTTCTAATTTTACATTTAGTGCCAGTTCTCAAATCAAGGGCGTAGAACAGAAGATAAGAACTGGCAATAAACTCTCTGCCACTCTTTTTAATCGTTTTTTGTTTTACACAATGTTCGTAAGGAGCTGCAACTATTACACCATAATCCACATGACATCTTAAGTAATTAATAGTTAATTAATAGTAATAAAATAAATTAAAAACAAAGATTTGTATTAGCAGGAGGCAATGTGAAATAGGAGCACGCACTTACATTCTGTTTTTTTTTTTTAAATATTAAAGCGAAACGAAATTCGCGGGCCACCTAGTTTCAAATAACATTAACACCGAAGTCCGCCATGAATTCCTGTCTAAAATCTATGTTATTGACATATTTTCTGAGGCCAACCTTCTCTGCCCCTTACCTAATCCTTGTTTTGTCGGGAATCGAGCCTGAACCTCTACCGGGATACTTGTGTGTTAATAGTTATGTGACTATATATTAGTAGACTCACAGTCCCAATATGTATAATGAGTATCGTTTATGTAGACTTCTTGTAAAATATAACTAACTTCAATAAAACTTGTTAAAGTATAAAGTAGAATTTGTTTTACGTTATTTACTTAAGTTGACACTTCGTATTTAGCGAGAGGTGCCAGTCACAACTACTGTTAAATGAATTTGAATAAATTTATATAAATTAAAAAGTTTTTATTAAAAGCACTTTCTACTGTAGAAAATATACGAAAAAAACCTCAAATAAAATAGGTACTTTGAAACTACAAACTTTAAGGAACAAACATCGTAATGGAGGCTATTAAAGTCATATCTGTTAGAACAAGGAACAACCCATCAGCCGTTATGATGGATAACTTCAGCTGTTACAGACTTCGGCCACATCGTTTGGTGCTGTTTCGTATTTCTTGGGGAAAAATACTTAGTACTTCAATTAACGTTTGCCATGATTCTTTATAATAATTGTACTATAAAAAAATAATATGGGTCCGCCTCTATGACAGTCTTATCATAAGTAATCCGTAAAATTTTAATTATGACATTAAATAAACTAATTGTAACAAAAGTACGACAACTGTCTGTTAACTAATCAGTGGTTTAAGGAAACTTAAAGATGGATGTTTGTTGTTTAAGTCTTAAGTAAGTGTTGAACCTTCACTAACGGTTCGATTTCTAGACAATAATTGTTTTGGTCAAATATGTCTAGCTCGATAGTATTTCAACTATCATGAAGTTAATAAAAAAAATAAGTCATTTTTTTAATGTTTTTTTTTCCAACACACAAATATATAGTATTTACTATAAAGATTAAAGATTTAAGTTGGCGCTTGGTAGATAGTACCGGTGACCCCAGAACAGGTGCTTTCTTCGCTCAACGAACAAGTATCGCAATACAGCGAGGAAATGCTGCCAGCGTTAAAGGTACACTGGCCACAGGGACCAAACTTTTTAAATTTGTTTTAATTTTCTATTTATAATTTTTTTATTATTGAAGTGAAACTTCTTTATCGGGGTTGGAAAAAAATTTAGTGTAACATTTTTGCGTTACGCGTCACATTTTTCCGTTACGCGCCATGTTGCTTTTTGAAGTCAAACTTCTTTATCGGCGTTAAAATATGACATATAGTATGTTTTTGACTTTGAAGTTTGACAACGGATTACATTTTCGAAGTCAAACTTCTTTATCGGCGTTAAAATAGGACATATAGTATGTTTTTGACTTTGAAGTTTGACAACGGATTACATTTTCGACTTGAAATTTGCTAATCGCAATTTGCAGCAATTAATTTGTAAATTGTATGCTAGGCAGAGTATCAAAATTTACTGTGTTTAAAGAAATAGTTTCTAATAAGGTCATAAAGAAGTTTCACTTCTTACGTGTGTACACCTAGTACACGCACACATTTTTTTATTATTATTGTAGGTTAAGAATTTTGTTAAATATTTTTTTTTCTAATTTTTTCCACAAAATATTGTCGTTTGATCACTATGCTGATACGGCGGATTACAAGATCATCAAACATAAAAAAGGCTAGCTAATTTAATTATATAAAAAAAAGTCTAATTTAGAGTATTTGTTCAAAGTCTAAATAAAAGTCGAGTTAGCAAGCACGTAAAGTAAGATTAATTTTAAAAGTAATAAATAGTGAACTTCAAAGTGTTAACTTAAATAAGTACGACTTGAATAGGGATCAAATTGCTAAGGCAGTTTAAATACAGATGAAGCCTTAAGAAAATAACTTCTATAAAATCCACAGATTAAATTACCTTGATGCATTTTATTAAAAGAGCAAATGGCGAAAACAACCCTATAGGTATATTTCGAGATGTTCTACATTATATTATATAATATATTGATCGTTTATACAATCATTTCACAGGATACATATACCAACCATAGTCGTAAAATACATTATGAAACTGTGGTTTATAGTAATGTAGCATCAATAGTGTTATTTCATAATAATAATATACCATTGAAATATTAAAAATTTTCTTAACTAAAAACAATAACTAACCTTTAAATATAATAACTAACATATATTATTAAAAGGACTCCCTTTAGGCAAGGTTCCGATAGTGGCAGCAGTAGCTGCCAGCTCTTCGGTCTCCTGTGATGTCGACTAACCTTTTTGCTATTTCCTTAAAAAGCCTTACAACGCTAGGACCCCACGGATCAAGGGTTTGACACCGAATGGGACAAAATCATATCCGGAGCCTAGACCCCTGTATTTTCATGCTTTAGCTTTTCAGCAGCATTTCGTATTAATTCATTATAACGAGACGATTTTCTGTTTTATTTATTTAATTAGGAAACCAACAGACAACATCAAATAAAATATACAGAATTGAATGGCTAAAACAGTTTTTCAGAAAAAGAATTGTATTCCAGTGACAGCAGAACGGTTAGAATATATATTAAGAATATAATATTAAGGAGATCACAAATAATAAGACAAAAATACTAACAAATAAAAAAATAAGGATAGGATGGAATAGAGCAGTGTTGCCCTAGTGGCTTCAGCGTGCGACTCTCATACCTGAGGTCATAGATTCGGTCCCCGGCTGTGCACCAATGGCCTTTCTTTCTATGTTCGCATTTAACACCGGTGAAGGAAAACATCGTGAGGAAACCGACATGTCTTTGACCCAAAAAGGTCAACGGCGTGTGTCAAGCACAGAAGGCTGATCACCTACTTGCCTATTAGATAGAATAATAATCATGAAACAGATTCACCTAAAGACCTAACGGTTGTAGCGCCACTGATTTATTCTTAAGAGAGGATAGTATGTTCATGATTTCAATACTTTTAACGATTTTCCGTATAAAGCTAATACAGGAGAGTGTAAAGAAAAACTCACCTATGGGCTCAACATAAGAAATATGATCCACGAAGTCACGTTTCGGCATATACAGTGTAATCTTTCCATTCGGAGAACACTTTTTATAAACCTTGAAATTATATACCATTTTGATAACTTGATCTGTTCACGACTCCAGTTAAAATGCGTCGTGAATTCCTTTTCCCTTATATTTATAGTGGATTATATATGTATAAGGCTTCTAAGCTACGATAATCATATTAGTATTATTACTCAGTTAAGGACAACTCCCACTTGCTTTGGGAATTTCAAAGATTTCGCTTCGGCTCAATGGAAAATTCAATCGAAATCCTAAAATAATAGCGATGGTGATTTTGTTTGCAGGTATGTTTTATTATTTGTAACATATTATATACTATAGCTCTTATTATAGCTAGTCTTAAGCTATCTAAAGCTTGTACATGCTTTTTTATTGCTAGTTTAAATATATCTAAAAGCTTTTTTTTATATAACAGGGGGCAAATTATTATAGCTAGTCTTAAGGTAAGCCGCCCATGGACACTCACATTGCCAGAAGGCTCGCAAGTGCGTTGCCGGTCTTCTAAGCTAAAATCTCCTGGATACCATGCGTTAGTATGACGGCACCAACTATTTTTTTATTAATATTTATTTTTTTGGCTATGTACTCAATAACATTGCTTCTATGACTATTAGAGGAAATAGGAATGTCATAAACTTAAAATCGTCATCGTCAGGAATACCTATGTACGTATATGCAACCGCCACTGGATTATTATAGTAACTGCTAACTTTAATCAACTGATCAACTGGCCGTATGTTATAGTTTATCATGCAAAACAGCATTTCTACTGCATATAAAATTAAAAAAGGTCTGTAATTTACGGCTAAACCATAATCCTTAATTATTTATTATTATAATCCTTGAAATGAAACGTTTATTTGCTAAGATAGTCGTTTAATTAGATAGATTAATTATAAAAATCCGCACAATTTTTATAATGTCAATAAGAACATTGACATAATGTCATAATAATAAGTTAAGTTATTTAGAATTGATGTCAAACTTATGGTCTAAATATTCGCCCACGCTATAAAGGCACCTTACTTTTAAAAATTAAATCACCTCACCCTTGAAAGCATTACACGGCAGTGATCTATAACTTCTAGGAAGGTGATTAAATAGTTTCATAGCCATAGCCTAAAAAATTTTTGAATACATCGTGGTGTAGCATGCAGGTACCCACAGCCGTGTTGGATCCCTCGTTATATACAGGCTAGTTTCTTTGCATGTTATGAATAATTTTGGATGCTTTTTTACAGTCATAACTGCATATAAACTTGGTACTGTCAAAATACCGAGTTCGTAATAAAATGGTCTACAGCTTACGAATCATTTGTAACGTAATATTTGCAGAGTGACACAAGTGATAAGGCAAAGTTTTGTTAATAAATAGTTCTTTAGATTTTATGCAGATAAATAAAAGATTACCTACATTGTATTTTGCGTAAAGAAGCCTTATTTGAAGGCTCCACCAATATTAAATCCGATTTTTGTCTAAAGTATGTCTTCACATCGCTTTAAAAGCCTACTCACGAATTATACAATCTTATTATAGAGGTTATGTAATGACTTTGACACGCTTCTATCATTATTAATGTATACGCATACAATACAATACGCAGTGATGCCAACACCTAGAGAGTGTTCCCCTAGGACCCCTAATACCTTAAAAACTCCTAAAGTTTTTTGTACAATCGGGTGTCAAATATGCATCCAAAATATATACAAGTACTATAAAATAGCTGTTATTTTCATATTGGAGTTTAAAAACTTATAATATGTATGAAAAAATATTTTTTTAAATAAAATACCTCCTAAATAAATGTACCGCCTCAAACGCTTAGACATCTTGATTCCCCATATTTTTGGAGGGAACCCCCTAGTTGGCATCACAGATAATTTCTGTAGTTCTAGGAATCATTCTTGGACATTTGTTTTCGTTTGGACGGTAAAGTAACACAGAAATGATGCTACAAGCGTTTTGGAGGAGATACATCGTAACGCTTCTTTTGATAAGCTATCGCTTAGTTAAGACTTTAACACCACGTGTCTGCGTGTTGTTTCCACAGTAAGTGCATAACTGCATAGTCCTATTTCACCGCGCCTTGCTGATAGACGTGAAACGTTCGATTTTCTCATCCATTTATTCATAATTTTATATTTAACTAGCTGACCGGGCAAACGTCGTTTTGCCATGTATATCATTTATAATAAAAAATAGGGGTTGATCGTAGAGGGGTGAAAATTGGGGGTTGTATGTATTTTTTAATGCTGTATCATAAAAAAATAAAAACAAAAAAATATCTAAAAATTAAAACAAAATAATTTAGGAATGGACTACCCTTAACATTTAGGGGGATGAAAAATAGATGTTGTCCGATTCTCAGACATACCCAATATGCACACAAAATTTCATGAGAATCGGTCAAGCCGTTTCGGAGGAGAACTACAAACACCGCGACACGAGAATTTTATATATTAGATTACATTAATTAAATGCTTCAATATGTGATGAGAAGCATGATATAATGGTTGCATGTTACTTACATGCTTACATATTTTTGTAAAAAAGAGGAATTTAAAGGAGGCACGGAGAATTTCTATTTTCTTGCCAGTTTCATAACTGGCAGTAAATGAAAATATAGAACCATTACTTTTTTTAATGAAGGTAGGTTATTTATTAGCTACCTCCGTCAATAAATCATATTTTAATTTGACTAACTGATTATCAAAGCGATTTGAGACAGAAATGAATGATAATATATCTTCAAAATTAATAAACGGTAATTCTTTTTGTATAGGTTATAGGTCAGCGGTATGTATACGTATTACTTGCCTAGTGAATCTAGTAAACTTAAGAGTAACTGAAGACTTAAAACGTTCAAATTTTGAACTTTGACCCCAAATAACTTTAAGCACACGTTGGATTTTAAAACTTTATTTGTAATGGTAAACCCCAGCTCTCCACCAATTTTTCGCTTTCCGGGAATTTTTGTTATTTGACCACTATTATTGCCTAACTTGACCGGACTGATAAGAGTAAGAGAGAACTTACATGCCATAAAAATTGTAGATGAAAAAGAGTTATAATCGTAACCATGCCCCATTGGGGAACATTTTAGTTACTACGTAAGTTAAATGACTTAAATATTCATATAAAACACATAAACGTCAAAAGCCATCAAAAAGATGCAAACAGTTTATTCAAGAACATCAATGGAAAGGCCGGAAACACATCGTAAACTCACATTCAATAAGCAGTCGTAAACCCTTTCAATCTTATCTTGGAACTAGTCCCTTTGACGGATTGCAAATTTAAGTTCATGTCTAGTTGAATACAATAATAACAAAAACTTAACTCCTTAGTAGTGGAATGTTTTTTTATTACAATTTTCTAAAACGAATAAAGGTAAAAACAGCAAAAAATATTGGTAAATAAAACATTATTGGTACAGTTAAACTGCTAGAATTAGGATTTTAATTAGCCATCACAGTAGCCCATGGGCGCTAAATTATTTGAATATTGTAAAACTAATCTAGTAGACGAGGTTAGGAATAAAATTTACGTGTAACTTACATTATTTTCGTTACGCGTCAACATTTTCGGATTACGCGCCATGTTGCTTGTTGAAGTCAAACTTCTTTTCAGCTGTTGGGAATGAAACTTCTGTAGCGACGTATGGTAGAAAATTTTGTAGCAAATCGTCACTTTTCAAATGACTTTAAAGCATAATAATTCATATTTTAGGTCGCAATTAATGAAAAATTCAAAAAATCATCGTTAGTAACAAATGTAAAATGAAATATTTGTATTCATGTAAGTATGATAATAAAGCCTTTTGTTAAATCTTTATCTAATTTAAGTCGACATTTCTCTAACTGAGTTGCATATAGTAGATCATATGTCGAAAAACAAGATCATAAAGAGGTTTTATCTTTTTACGTAGTCCAGATAATACACCTAATAAATTAATAATTTGGTTTTAACTATTGTATAATTAATCTAGTGGACATTTTGGAATAAAGATCAAATCGTTACTTGCAAGCCTCGCTTAATAGTGCCCATAGCTCTGAGCTAACCATTATTAAGGTGCACAACCAGTAAAAAATAAATATTGGCACCATAAACGAATGGATCAATAGGCTGCTTAGTTGCAAACAAAATATTGACAAAGCATGTATCAAATTAGGACTCAAGCAAAGAGAGTATATGATAAAAACATTGTAAATACTGGAACGAAATGTATAATTAAGGTGACCTTAGCAAGGAAAAATAATTGAATTAAAACATAATCGTAATTTACATATTTTAGGTCAAGTGCAAAAATTTACAGACGAAAAAATGCATGAAAAGTTTGCTTTCGTTTCTAACAGACCGATATAACTTAATTTTTTTTAAACTGTGGTTCTTATTTTTATTCAAAAGTGAGTATTCTTATACTGTGATACTGTGTGTATACTGTGATGGAGAAGGTCTGCCAAGGATAGAGAGATGTGGAAACGATTGGGGGAGGCCTATGTCGACAGACAACCTGACCAAAGTGGTTCCTAATAAATTATTATTTTCGCTATGTTAATTAGATTTAAGAATGCTACTGTTAAATAAGAATAGCATGTAAGTTAAAAAGGTCAGAGAATAAAGGGCTTTTATTATTATTCTTATACTATAACTCTCTCATAAGAAAACTTTTGATCAAAAACTATGCCATCAAAACATAACTTATAAAAAACTACACTTTTTTTGGCAGTTATTTTAACTTAGAAGAGGCGCTGTGAGATCCTTGTAAAACCAAGTCGGTCAATTTGTTCAGTCCCTACTTAGGGAACCCTCTGTCTTAAGTTATTACGTAATTAGCTAACCAAACAACATCTTATAGTGACCATATCAATGTTACATATCTTAAATGTTTTAATTTGACTTGGCCATGGAAGAACAACGTATCTCACAAGTAATATATGTTATACTAGCTGCACCCTGCCACGCTTCGCTGTGGCAAATTGTGACTGAATGGTTGCGAAATGAGAAACAAAACAAAGAATACATTTCATATAAGTTTAATTTTGCAATACTTGTAGAAAAAAATAATAATAAAAAAACAATTTTTTTTAATAGATAAAAACAATCCTTGATGCGGATTATATCATTGATGTATATCATTCTAAAATTTCAGCTCGATCGGTGCAGAAATTTTTGAGTTTTTGAAGCGTACACAAACCAAAATAACATTTTTATATATATAGATTTAATTACATTGTTTAGTGTGATTGCTAAATCAATCTATATATTAAAAGTTTTTCTTCTCGTTTTTGTGCAATTTACCGAAAATTATGAAAAAAACTTTAGCACAAAGAACGATTTTTTTTTTGATGCGTCGTCATTACGAGTATCGCATCTTCATTTGTTTTTTAACACTATATTTATTTTAGTTAAATATTGAATTTTATTTACACAAATACAGTATTTACAATTTTCTTAACTTATAAAGCAAAAATAAATTTCTTTTAAATTTGTTTTGATTTTCTTCTTTCTTCTTTAATTATTTTTATTATTACTTAATATTGAATTTAATTCCCAATAGATAAATCATTGAACTTGTCCTTTACGATCAGCTAGGTAACCAACGCAGGCGCTTCTCGCGGTCATTCACCGATTGTCTGTCTCACTTCTTCGTACGTAACTTTCTATATGAAAGAGACAAAAAATCCTTAAGGCACCCAAATATCTATTGAAATGATATAATATTGTGTCAGGAACTTGTAACCAGAATACAGTAAGTATACCAGAGTTTCCTGAAATGCGAGTGTTGTGATATTTATACGTGCAATTTGACGAATTTTATAACATGTACGGTCAACATATAAATAATTTAATTAGTGGAACGCAATTTTTTTTTAAAAGCTAATTTAATAGTTACTCAGAAGTATATCTAATAGTGAAGAATTGTTTAAATGGCTCTTTAACCAGTTTACTTTGCTTACAATAATAGTATAGAAACTCGAGCTTTCGACATAACAACAGTCGTGGTCAAGATGAGTGAAATTATAGTTCGTTCAATCAATTTTGCTGACGGTACACAAAGAATGCAAAGTAAAAACGAAGCTGACGTCACTATCGACTCCCGCGCCTCGTTTACAGTTACCCGCGAGTTGTGCCTCGCAAGACGTTAAACAAGTGAAATTATTTAAAACCTTATAGATAATAGTTATAACATGTCAAAAATATATAATCTTTGAGTGCGGAAAATGTTGTGTGTTGTGTTGTTGTGTGTGTTTTAAAAGTTGACAAATTGTAGCAATGTCTGTGAGTCCAGAACCAAATTCTAATCCAGGTTTGTTTGAAGATCTACTGTTAACTGTTGTATTAGGACTTTCAAACAAAACTCAAAATTTAAATAAAGAACGCCATCGGTTTTGTTTATGAAGTACTGTGACTACAATACTTTAAGTATCCAGACTAAAATACTTTTGTCGCGTTGATGACCATCTCATATTACTATACTAGAAACGCATTTACCTTATTGCTATCAGAAAATAATTTATTGGTGAATAGTTTTCAAAATCCGATCTTTTATGGATATTCAGTAAGTTTTAGAATCAGCTACTATCTATCTTTCAAACCCCTAAGCGATAAGGGCTATCGACTCCATTTTTTTTTGTTTTCATTTTTTTATGATACAGCATACAAAAATACATACAACTCCTAAATTTTACCCATCTACGATCAACCCCTATGATTGTAGATACAAGTTATTTTTGTTGAACTAAAAGAATGCTTCCTAGATATAATATACACGGCAAAACAACGTTTGCCGGGTCACCTAGTTTATAAAAATAATAAAGACTTGCTTATATTTCCATTAAAATGTTGTAAGTTTTAACTAAATGTAAGTCGCCTGTGGATATGGACCCCTCTTGGGTAAAGGCCTCTTCCAAACCTTTTCTCTTTGCCAATTCAAAAATCATTTACTATTATATATATATATATATATATATATTATACGTATATAGGTAATATACGCTTATGATCGTCAAGAAAAAGAAATGTATATGAAATGCTTCTAACTTTACATTTAGTGCCAGTTCTCAAATCAAGGGTGTAGCACGGAAGAGAAGAACTGGCAATAAACTCTTTTTAATCGCCATAATTATTATTTTTTACACAACGCAAAAGTCTGCCAGTCTTTTCCTGCTATTTCTATCTTTTTGGCCCACTTCTTTAACTGGGTGGTTCTTTCCATTGTGTTTTATTGTCCATCTGTTGTCCAGATATCGTGTTATATGCAACCAGCCCAAATTTTTGTCTATATTCTGATGTGTGTTTGCAAATACAATCAACCCTCAAATCTACGAACTACCTAGTAACTTATGTTTACTTACTGGATTGTTTGTTATCCTTCTATGTCAATCTAGAAACCGTCCTATTGATAATAAAAGTCTAGGTTTTTTAGATAGTTTTGGTTCTGAAATTTGCGTGCGTGTTTCTTCTAAGCGAAATATAATTATCACTAGATAAATTCAAAGCCCACCTTAAACGTAAATTAATCAATAAAGCTTTCATAAATTTAACAAATACTTAAATGATCCTAATCCTTGGGATTGATTTGCTCCAGTTCAAACAATTTATATGACTCAAAACTTAGCGATTAAAAAGAGTGGCGTAAAGTTTCTTGCCAGTTCTTCTTGCCCGCTCTACGCCCTTGACTTGAGAACTGGTGGTAAATGTAAGTTTAAAATTAATTTAACTTTTTTTTGACGTTCATAAGTGTACATGTTTACCTATATGAATAAAGATATTTTGAGTTTGAGTTAAAACACCACCATCCATAAATTTTATGAATGACATATATTTAATTTTACACGCACTTTATAATACAACCAGTATGATTGTAGAATCTTTCAGTAAAATCACTCAATCAATTTGTCGTCCAATGCCGCTATCGGAGCAAAATCTTTCATTTCCGTAACCGGCTACCTTAAATAGTTTATTTCGATTTTGAATTTAATTTTGGAATTCTGATTTATTTCTAAACCGAATCCAAAATGTTCTTAATATTTATGTTCATACTTTGCAAGTAATAACGAGATTAAAACTGGCTGTGGTTTTTGAGGGATGTACTGTAAAACTGATTATTTTGGGAAGGTTGGCTTGTACAAAATAAAATATGACTTCAGCTAAGTTACTTCAAAAAATGATACGACGACCATTTAAAAGATACTGTTATTTAAATCTTATCCCAATAAACACATATAAGATACTATTGAAAGGGTTACACACAGCTTAGTAACCTAGCCTTTTGTATGATTATATTAAGTCCTTACAAATGAAATTGACGTTTAGTCGTACTGGCCACTTTGATCTCAAATATTCTCTTTGGTCAGGAATTCCAAATTCAATTGTTACAGCTATTTACTCGTGCGTTTGTTTTTCGAAAACCATGATTCATTTCATTTTCCGTTTTAATTTTTTAATAGTATAATTTTTTTCGAAATTTGGATAACTTGCAAGGTAAAAAATTTAACTCTGATGGGGCAGTCGAAACTGAAGATTAAAAGCCTTTAAAGATTTTATTGATTCCCGTCAGAATGGATTTTTTAGTAAAGGGATCAATGAACTACCTATAAGATGGCAAAAGCAAAATAGCAATGGTACATACTTTGATTAATGAAATATATTGTATTTTCAAAAATCAACTTTTTTTTCCTACCATACAAATCACCATTTTCTTATGTTTATATTATATGGATTTGTTTTTAATTTAAGGCCTAGTCAAAATAGTGTAAGATATAATCTGAAATAAAAAAGTTATAATTATAAATTTATACTAAAATACTATCTAATACCATAGTCTATTTATTTATTTATTTAGTTATTAAGCTTACGACATCACACACAGAACTAAATCTACTAATTATTTTACAAAATCTTACATCTAAAATGTGTGACAATTAATGTAAACCTAAGTTTCACAAAAAAATAATAGAATAGAAATTAAAAAAAGACTCTAGAATTTAAATAGTTAGTTTACTTTGCCACTCTAAATGTTTAACTTAAATAGCTCAAAATCCTCTTATAACTTGACCTTCACGGCTTTCCCGACAATTTAAGCAAAACATCTCTTTTAAATTTAGAACCTAGAATTAATCGCATTAAATGTGAAAGCGAAAATAGCTAATTACTTACTAATTACTTAGAATTACATAAAATATTCGAAACTAAAAACGCAAACGCAAAGTGTTGCACAATAATCTAATTACATGGATGTAATTAACTACTGAGGATTACATTTCTTTTCTTGTACGTTATATGCGGCATGAATAGCTTTGTGTATATTTCACAAGTTTTTACGTACACTTTTTATTAGACCCCTAATAGCAACTAATAACCCTAGCACGCAAATAGGCAGATCTGTGGCCGGGAAAGTATACAGCAGGGGAGTGTCTATTCTCCCCTTTCCTAAAAGGGGATTGTATTTGCTTAAGCTAGATCTGGTGGGCTTCGCGTCTTCCGCCGGACCTGGGTGATGTACAAATCAATTACTGCCTTTGCCCATAAACATACATACATCCGTGGAAATTTTATTAGAGCTTCTAAAATGCATATTAAAAAATATATTCTCTTTACTGATAAAAGCTTGACAATTACAAGTCCACGAGCCACTTAACAGGTCTCCTGGGAGATACGACCTCCAATTGTTAATAAAATGAGTATACTCCTCAAAGGCCGGCAACGCACCCACTAAAATCGGTGTCCATGGGCGGCCAAGGCTGCCCTTTTTGGGCGTCCCATAGGCTGATTTTCCCCCTATCCTATATAAAAAGAATGTATTTTGCAGGTGTGGTAGAACTTCGCGAAGATGTCCCACTAAAGCAGTACCATACGACAGCTGGTGGTCTCTGCGCTGGTGGACCCCGGATCATCATTGGAGCGTTTGCCACTCTAACAGTCGCTGTAACAATCGCCCTCATCACTCAAATATATTACGGAGACTACCAAGTAACTTAAGTACATAGATGCACTTTTACTATGCACTGTTTTATATAACTATAGGTATGACAAAAAATGTAGTTAGTAACAAGGGAGTGGAGGCCTGGCCCCAAATTATTTTCAATATAAAATGGAAGAAGAAATCAGTTCAGCTTTCTGATAAGTAATTTGTTGTCAAACCAAGTATAAGTTATTTCTTTATTAATAAGGTCTTTTTGGGGGGCTGTAGCCCCGGTTTTTCTCCCCTAAACACATCGAACGTTTAATGCACTTACCATTTGAATATCAATGAGAAAGAAGCGTCATGAATACATCAACAATCTAATATTTGCATTTAAAACAAAAAAATGTCTTAAAGTCTTTTTTAAATTTTCCAGCGCAAGCAATATCTATATGAAATTAATCAAACTCTTACGGAATGTTTCATTATTAAATTTTAATAATTATTTTGTATTTGTTGAGCCAAAATTTGATACTTGGCTAGTATACGTGGTTATGTAAATGTAATGTACGTAGTAACTATTCTAATACTCAGAAATACTTATTGAGAATTTTATAATGGTCTAATCAGAGAGCAGTGTTAGCCTAGTGGCTTTAGCGTATCTTTATATATATAATTCTTCTGTGAGTGTGTATGTCACTGAACTTCTCTCAAACGATTGGACCGATTTTGATGAAATTTTTTGTGTGTGTTCAAGGGGATCTGGGAATGGTTTAGATTCAAATCAGCCCGGCAGATGGCACTGCAGTCGGTACTTTCATACTTTGCTTAATATCCTAATCGCTTTAAATATCATGCAGGACAACGTCTGTGGGGTCCACTAGTATTATATATATTATTATTATACGACTCTCATCCCTGAGGTTGTAGGTTCAATTCCCGGCTGTGTACCAATGGACTGTCTGTCTATGTGTGCAATTAAGTCTCGTAAAACACATATACAACACTAAAAAGGTGCCAAAGGATTTTTAAATTTTATATCTTTTTCGATATTGGCGAGCTTTACATAGCATTTTCTTAACACAAAGATGACCACTTTTTTTACGTAAAATTTGAATTATATAAGTAAGGTTTAATATATAACAGAATTATACAAAATTGTACATAGAAAATACATAAAATATAAAATGGCGAATGGACGTAAATACTTCACCTAGGTGTACCAACCATAAAGTGAGCTGTGTTTGTTAAAATGTTTTGTAACGACGACTCATTGGACTAGTGGTTAGTACCCCTGACTGCGAATCCATGGGTCCCGGGTTCGATCCCCGGCTGAGACGAACATCGATGTGATGAGCATTTGGTGTTGTGCTTAGGTCTTGGGTGTTTAAATCTGTATTTATATTTCTATCTATCTATAATATGTACGTATATCCGTTGCCTACTACCCATAACACAAGCTTCACCAGCTTAGCATGGGACTAGGTGAATTGTCTTAAAAAAACAAATGTTTTGTAATGTCAAAGTTGATATCTAAAAAATTCGTTAATATAAGTCTAACAATACTATTTCAGGTTGTACCTCACGGCTCCGTCTCCTCATCTGCAGCAGAATGCAGCAGTATCGGAACCAGTATAATGAGAGCCGGTGGCCGGGCTATAGACGCTGCAATTGCGAGCTCATTTTGCCTGGCTGTTGTAGCGCCGCATAGGACATCATTGGATGCGTAAGTAACGGCTTATTAAAACAGCTATTGTATTTTTAAACCTTAGAACTGTTAGAGTGTAAAATATATAACTATTTGTTGCTTACTAAGGAAATTAAGATTGAAATTAGCATTTAGACATTCCATTCCGAAATAAACAAAGTGTAATTTTATACTTGGACCGTAAATTCTGGTCCATTTTCATAAATTCTTTTACCTTTACACATTATCACTGGAATTTTATTTTTGTCAATGTCTTGCCTTGCGAAGCCGGCAAAAATCTAAAGTTGTTTTCAACCCATTATATAACCCGCAGGAGTTGCAGTATTTAGTGTTTATTATTTATTAGTGTAATCTTTGATGCAATAAAATATCAATAATATTGCTTTTAAGACATTTAGTTATTGATTTAAGTGCCATCTATTATAAATATACTGTAATAATACCTATACAATTATTATAGGTTTTAAAATATTGGTTTAAGCGCCATCTGTTAAAGTATGGTCGAACTAATACAAAGTCTTGAAGCTAGTGTATGTTATTGTAAGTCCGTACCGCTTAGATAGATGGTAGGGCATACTTTGTTTCACATTTTAAAGCACAAGAGCTTGATTTTGTTAACTATTTAACTATAATTTATATTATTTTACATAAAACGATATATTAGTTAATACTATACCTCTTATGTTTTATAATATGCAGTGCTTTTAAATTTTCCTCGAGAAAACATATTTATCTTTCTAGAGTTATATTAACGCGAACATTGCGCGCATTTTTGGGTTTACAGGTCTATTGCAATTTAAAATTTCATTAATGCTACGACAATTGAATCTTTTTTATTTGTGAAATTTATTCACAGAGTCTATCAACTAATAAATATTTTTTCAGGAGTGGATCACTTCTATACTGGGAATATCGGCGTATGCCATATCTCCAGCCTGCTGTAATGGAATGGGGCGGTATTCGGAGCTCACTAGACCCAAACCCTGTACCAAGATTGGTCTTAGGACTGGCGGCATTACACGATAAGTACGGGACAATGCCATGGCCGAAGTTATTACAACCAGCTATTGATTTGGCAAGGTTCTCATTTTTCTTTATTATACTAGTAGACCGGGCCACACATTGAAGTTATGTCAAAGACAATTATTGTTAATCTTAATGTTGATGTTAAAATTTTCCAGAAGTGGCTTCAATATATCAGCGGGGCTCGCGATTGCCAGCGCTTCGCAATTATCGCCCGGGTACGTCGCAGGTACATTGCGTACTGAACCACTTCTAGCAGATTACTTGCAAACATTACAACAGAATAGTAGTGCTGGTGAGTTACTCCTGCTACTCCAATATAAAATAGTCCGGGTAACTTAAAATTACGACGAAAGCTTTTTATTTATTCTAAATTAGTTATACGGATTTTCACGATAACATTATCGTGTCAACATCCTATCCGTATAACTATACTAACTCAGCTTAAACCAAAAGCTTTGGGGTTGAAATACCTACATTGAAACAATAATTCAAAGTATATAGGAACTATACCTCATACAAGATTAATGCACGCCTAATATAATGTTTTTTTTTCTTTCATTCATTTAAAAGTACCTTTAGTGATGAGGGAATACATTCAAATTGAGATATGCGAACAATATTACCCCATAGAGACTGTTCGCTTTACCGGCGTGAAAACCTAAGACCTAAACATGCAAAACATAAAAAATATTTTACAATTTTTCCTTCATTAAAACCTTCCGAGTTCAAGGAATAAATAAAAAATCACTCGAACTGGGTCCAGCCGACTTCAAATTTTGCGCTTCGCATTTTGCGATTCATTTTTATTTAAATAAGACTTCATTGTGGTAATATTTAAGGTCAATTAATATTAAAAATACACAAGTGGGATAACTATAGTTGATGCCAACCCCCACGACACCTCAGAGACTCGGGCCTGCACAGGATTATACGTTTAGATGTTCGTTTGAGAACGCCCGTGCAGTAACCAAAGTACCTCGGTGCGGCTTTGAATACCGGTGGGGTTTGACTTCGTACGTACTACTGTTCTAGCCAATCCCGACGTCGCCTCAGAGACTCGGGCCTGCACGGGATTAGACGTTTAGATGTTCGTTTGAGAACACCCGTGCAGTAACCAAAGTAACCTCGGCGCGGCTTTGAATACCGGTGGGGTTTGACTACGTACGTTTTGTCAAGACGGTTCGACGTATCGCTGGCACCGCCTCGACCCACGCACCCCTGCTAGTGCGTAATTGTAGGATGTTGTCTTGAAATGAAACTGCGCCTTGTTCTTGTTTCTTGCTTCGCCGATTATTCTTGGGTCCCAGTTCGTTGCGGAGGAAAAAGAGAGTTTTTTGCGTAGATCTCGCCGAGCTTAAGTACTTCGACAGTATACCGCGACGAGAGCTGCGCTTACAGCCATCTGCGCGCGTATACCGCGACGAGAGCTACGCGACCCTTTTATTCAGCCGGCGAAGCATTTTATAATTTGTTTAACTATATTTTTCTTTACATATTTTACCTAACTTATTTATACTTAATTTCTACTTATGAGCTATCAACAATATTCTTATTTTACTTATAGCTCATACTTTACCACTTACGAGCTGCAAACAATATTCATATTTAACATATAGCTCATACTTAATACTACTTAAATCTATGAGTCGCCAACATTCTCCCCCTCGTGCGTAGCACCGTCATTCCTGCACGGCGACTTCGCAGGCACCAAGATGACGATCCTCGACGATGGTCTTCGTATCACTCCACCTTTGGTTGCCACGTCCACGATCCTGGTTCTTCCGTCGGGCCCGGGGTACGTGGTTTCGATAATTCCCTTCGGCCAAGTGCATCGTGGTAGCGTGCGATCTACGATAAGAACCACGTCGCCTGGCTGCAGCTGCTCGCCTTCCCGTCGTCCTGTCGTTTTCCTGGGCAGTAGCGTGGGCAAGTACTCCCGTAGCCATCTCCTCCAAAAGTGATCAGAAAGTCGTTGGACGGTCTTCCAATCTTCTCTGCCCACCAGCTTTGCATCAGGAAAATACCCAACGCGTGCAGCTCCTCTGGATCGCCCAATGAGAAAGTGATTTGGGGTTAGCGCCTCCTCTTCCGAATTATAAGCTAGGTTTTTTATTAGTCTAGAATTGACTATGTGTTCTGCTTCCAACAAGGCTGCCTGCAGTTCAAGACTCGGCATATATACTGCGGCTGCATACGACGTCTCCTTTGCATCAATGAAAGTATGCAGCTCCCCCTCAGTGCAGAATGTTGTCATGTATCGCGGCAGCTCGATGTCTTGTTTTCTTCCGATTTGTTCTAGGTAGCTCTTCCGCGCTTCGGTGTCGTCCTTAACGATCTCTATTTTGTTCGGCGCCCATCCTCGTAACTTGAAGTGTGCCTTCTTATGGATCAAGTCGACTTGCTGTATTACTCGTACTGTGGAAGCTATGCAAATGATCATGTATATAGTGCTTCCGCTCTATTGCTTGCGCCGCTTCTGGATATTTATGTAAGTGGATCTTTGCGTTCTTGTTTTTTATATAAATAGCGGTGCAAGGCGACGACGCAGCTCCAAATATCACTGATGTCATTCTGTATTCCTTCACTGGCGCTTCCTTGTCTTTTCGCCATAGGAACCTGAGACTGTCTCTATCTTCTTCACGTATTTTCACTTGCAGAAACATTTCTTTTATATCGGCCGCTATTGCTACAGGGCCTTGACGGAATCGCAGTAGTACTCCAAATATTGACTGCAGTAAGTCCGGGCCGGACAGCAGAACGTCGTTGAGGCTGACTCCGTTGTATTTGGCCGCAGCGTCGAAAACAATTCTCAGCTTCTTTTTCAGAGGGTGGCCCACTGGGAAGTGAGGCAGGTACCATTTTTTGTTGGATGTGCAGTCGGCTGGTGCTTCTTCAGCGTAGTTGCTTTTCAACAGATTGTCTATCTGCGCGCTATACTCATTTTTTAATTTACGTCTTTAGGCGCGTTTTTCTATGCCTCGAAATCTGTTGAAAGCTGCTGCGTAATTGTTTGGAAGTTGTATGTCCTCCTTTTTCCACATTAGTCCGACCTCGTATCTGCCATCTTCCAACTGTCGGCTGGTTCTTTCCAATATGTCTAGTGCTCGCTGTTCTATATCCGTTGAAGGCTTCTTCGGCTGAACCCCCAAAGACTCAATAGTGAAGTGTTCCCTCACCAGCTGATCTATTTTGTCTTCGACGACATTTGCGTGTGCATATGTGTTCACATAATTGATCGGAGACACGCCGCTGCTGTCGGACCCCGTGGAGAACCCATCCTAACTTTGTTCGTGACGCCACCGGCTGCCCTGGCTTTCCACGTCGTATTTGTAACGAGACAATGTATTCCCAATTGTCTTGGCCAATGAGCAGCTTCGGCGCCTCAGCTTCGTAGCACACGTCTTGTAGTAAACCCCGCAAGTGATGACACTTCTTAAGTCGGCTTTTATCTACGAGTTGTGGGGTTAATTTGAGCTCCTTGATAGTTCTTGCCCTCTTGAGTGTACTTTTCTCGCTTTGCTTGATCCCTTTCACTTCGATGTCTAAAATCATGGAGTCGTGATTTTTCATTTGCCCTCCGCCGATAGTTTCTATATTCAGGGTTTCGCGAGGACCCTGGATGCCGATGCTCGAAGCCACGTTTTCGTCAAGCAGTGTCACCGTTGAGCCTTCATCTAGCAGCGCCAGTACTTGTTTGCTCCCAGCCGGTCCGTATATCTCCACCTTGAGCATCTTAAGAATAGCTTTCGGTGTGCTTATTGTATTGACCGTCGCTGTCTCGGTCGCTGCCTCTTCGTGACATTGTTCGCTCTCCGACGTCACATGTAGTAGGCTATGGTGCCATCTTCGACACAACTTGCACGGTGGTCTTCGGCATGTTTCTTTCCGGTGCTTCCCAGCGAGGCACTTGAAGCAGACCTTAAGCCTCTTAACTGTTTCCCATCTCTCGTTGACTGCCGCTTTTAGGAATCTTTGGCAGTCTTTGAGTTTATGTGTACCTTCACAGTCTGGGCACTTGATTTCTTCAGGTCTACTCCTTTCAGCGATATTATACGTAGCTTGCTTCACTGGCCTTCTTATCGCTGCGCTCGGTCGTACGCTTTTGCTGTCTTCGAGTACCGCGAATGCGCCGCATTTGTCCGCTTCCAAATTGAGGAAGTTGCTTATCGATTGGATATCACTGAACGATTCCTCTTCCCTCGCAGCCGTGAAATCGTACCATCTGAATCTGAGAATTGGAGGCATCTTCTCTATTATAAGTTTCACGATTTCAGGCGAGTAGAGGTATTGCGGTCTCTTCAATCCCTTTATGGCGGCCACGCTGTTATTTATTTGGCTAGCGAAGACGCATATGTCCCTGGGATTTTCCGTCGTTCTGGGAAGCGCCTTTAATTTCTCCAGTTCAGCTAGCACCAGCGCGTCGGGTCTACCAAATCTTCGGCGTAAAGCGTTAATAACTTCTTCAGGCATCGCCTCTGAGTACAAGAGGCTCTTAATGCTTTCTCTCGCTGTGCCTTTAATCGCTTTACGTAGCCGCGCCATATTCTGAATGCCAGAGAACATCGGAGATGTGTCTTCATATACGACTCGAAACGCCGTCCATTCGGAGCTGTCGCCTTCAAATATCGGCAGCTCTTGAATGTACTTCGGTTGCGGCGCTACATGTGTCGTCATGGCTTCCTTTATTGCGTCAGCTATTGCTCGAATGTCGCTCTTTGTTTCTATTTCTTCTGGCCTTTGTGCCGAAGAGCGCATCCAATTTGCTACCTTTTCTTCATGGTTATCGTTGACATCTTCTATAAAGGAGTCTTCCTCTTCCGTTTCTGCTTCTAATCGTAATCTGGCCAGACGTGCTGCTGCCTGCGCTTCCCGCAGCTCGCAGCGAGCCAGCTCTTCTCTGGCCTCGGCTTGTCTTCTTGAGCTGGCTCTGGATACGGCTCTCGATGCTGCCCGCCGGGTGGAACCCGCTGGTGCCAGAGTCAATGCTTGATCTGGCTGGCTGGCTGCGCTCGTCGACGTGGACTGCTCTATCGTTATCTCTTCGCCTGTGGTCCGGACTTCGGACCTTGTGGCGGAGGTAACAGTCGTCGTCGATTCCCCTCGCTGCATCCCGTTCTGTGACCTTGTGACTGGCATTTTCTTTTCACAGTATTCACTTCTTGATGACAACCGTTGCAGGATCCGGCTCGAAGGACCACTGTTGATGCCAACCCCCACGACACCTCAGAGACTCGGGCCTGCACAGGATTATACGTTTAGATGTTCGTTTGAGAACGCCCGTGCAGTAACCAAAGTACCTCGGTGCGGCTTTGAATACCGGTGGGGTTTGACTTCGTACGTACTACTGTTCTAGCCAATCCCGACGTCGCCTCAGAGACTCGGGCCTGCACGGGATTAGACGTTTAGATGTTCGTTTGAGAACACCCGTGCAGTAACCAAAGTAACCTCGGCGCGGCTTTGAATACCGGTGGGGTTTGACTACGTACGTTTTGTCAAGACGGTTCGACGTATCGCTGGCACCGCCTCGACCCACGCACCCCTGCTAGTGCGTAATTGTAGGATGTTGTCTTGAAATGAAACTGCGCCTTGTTCTTGTTTCTTGCTTCGCCGATTATTCTTGGGTCCCAGTTCGTTGCGGAGGAAAAAGAGGATTTTGCGTAGATCTCGCCGAGCTTAAGTACTTCGACAGTATACCGCGACGAGAGCTGCGCTTACAGCCATCTGCGCGCGTATACCGCGACGAGAGCTACGCGACCCTTTTATTCGGCGAAGCATTTTATAATTTGTTTAACTATATTTTTCTTTACATATTTTACCTAACTTATTTATACTTAATTTCTACTTATGAGCTATCAACAATATTCTTATTTTACTTATAGCTCATACTTAATTACCACTTACGAGCTGCAAACAATATTCATATTTAACATATAGCTCATACTTAATACTACTTAAATCTATGAGTCGCCAACAACTATAGTGTGTGTAGGTATTGTCTATAATATACTTGATCATATAGCGATTATATCATCTTGAGGTCGTAGTTTTGATCCCCGGCTATGCACCAATGGGCTTTCTGTCTATATGCGCATTTAACATTCGCTCTCACGGTGAGGGAAAACATCGTTAGGAAACCGGCTTGCATTAGATCCAAAAAGTCAGCGTGTGTAAAGCACAGGAAGCTGATCACCTACTTGCCTTAAATTGACTAATTAACATGAATTTGATACAGAAATCTGAGGCCCAGACCTAAAAGGTTTTTAGCTCCACTGGTTTAATTATTTTATTCTTGATTATATATATAGGTCTTTTATGAATTCTTTTAGAACTCTGCGCATCGTGGCTCTGTGAGAGCTCCGTTGTATCAAGTACTGTGGGTACAGTGCGAGCTGGTACGTGGCGAATTTGGGCTGGTTCGGCGGGTGCGAGGGCAGCTATTGCACTCTCAACAGCTTTCGAACCTGCGCCGCTATCTTCTCTCGAGGCATATCATAGGTACTTCCTTATACTTTGACCTTTTTAGCTCATAGTTTAATAATAATAATAACAATAATGAAGCCTCATTTCCTTGAAAACTTTACAAAATATACACACACTTAAACTATTTTTTTTTCAAGGACCTCTTATTGAGTATAGGCCTCCTCCAATCTCTCCATCTCTCTCTCTGTTTTAAGCATTTTTCTCCCAATCCTCTTCACCAACTTCCTTAAGCACACCGTTTAGTGGTGGTATATTCGACAGCTTCATAAGATAAGATGTGCATACCGTATCATGTCAACGGGTATTTGACTGGAGATTCTGGTGACCAATCACTGGACGGAGCGCACTTTTCGTCCCGACATTCCTTCCCAAAGATAATCCTGGGTAACTAAAAGCCTTTTTCTTGCTTTAGAAATAGTTCCATATCAGCTTTATGTTAGGGTAGGTTTCAACACTTAGGTAAGTAAAGTCGGTACTGCGATTATCTGGCGACACTACGGCCGAGTCCAGTCGAGTCAGATATCTCCGCAGGGCAGATCTACCTAAGGGCTTTTTGGGCTGCAGCCCAGGGCTCCGTGGATACAAAGGTCCACCAATCCCCACTGAAAACAAGAGGGATATTTTAAATTAAAAAAAATCCCATCATAAGGTTTGAATCGAACTATCAAGGGAACGGGGAATTCCACGTCGCTTGTTTTCGATCGGATATTTTTTGATGTGTGCGTCTATTACGAAGGACTTCCCCGCAATAAGCCAGAGTCTCACACATTTACTATCCGCCCATGCAACTGCCCAATATGTTTATTAGAATGGTTATGCACACTTGATCTATAATATCGCTCATATAACAGTCTGAACTAAGAATTAGTTCGGACAAGTTGTATAACCATACATCGCCGTGAATTGAAGGCTTTTAAGAATATATAAGAAGAGACTTAGCTTTTAATAGCACAAATAGTTATCCATACAATGAACATTTATTTTTTAAATAAATTGGAAATAAATATAGCCCACTTCTAATTATTTTTTCTCTGTGTGGGTCTTTTCTCTTTATGAAAGACACATTATAAATCAAAGAAATTATTTCTGGTTCAAGAAAAATTTAATTGGGTAGATGACATCGTACTTTAAAGTATATCATTTTGCAGGGTAGTAGCTAGTCTGCAGTCTCAAGCAATATCAGCAGCTGATTCATGGCCCAGTGGTGTTGCATCTGGATTAGCTGTAGTGGATTCACAAGATACATATGTTGCTCTAGTCACGTAAGTTTATTTATTATTCAATAATTATAAGCCTTATTAAAGCACCTTCAAACGCCGCTCTAGATATTGCATAGATACCGGCAAACATCTTAAACATTAAACAAGGAAGTGGCGGAAAGTTTGCGCAGCGCGGGACACAAACGTCAACTGATTTACCAAGCACGCTATCGACACGTCACTCACCCGCCGCCCCCCCTCCCAGTGATACCTAAGTATCGCTTTTGCGCAGGCAAGGACATTTGTTCAAGATGTTTTCCGGTATCTGTACGCTTGCATACAACAGTCAAATTTATAGCTGAATCAAATAAAACTGAAATTTCACTGTAAACGCCATGTGATTGACAAAAGAGTCAAAAACCAATTATTTTGTGTATATTTATGGATTACATCATTACTTTTGGTTTAGATAAATCCGACCTAACGGGGAAATGGTCCCAAATAAAGGCTTTAGTGACCTGATTAGTAAATTTCTTTTTTATTTAAGTCTTATTTATTGATTTGATGTTGTTGTTAAAATTTGAAAAGTTTTATACATAATTGGAAAAAAATTATTTATAGCCAGTGATAAAAGGCAAACTAGTGTAATAAATATTTACGTCTTTGCGTCGCTTGCGTACGCGCATTACGCAAAAGCTACAAACTTGGCAACATACTTCGTGTAGAATATCTAAATAAATTAGCTTATATATGTAGTACTGGAAATCTGTGTATCCTATACAGATAACTAAGATATATGTGATTTTTCCTTGATTATTATTATATATTAGCTTCTGAAATAAAAGAAAATTAAAACAAATTTAAAAACTGGTTCCTATGGCAGTGTACTTTTGACACTGGCAGCATTTCCTCGCTGTATTGCGATACTTACGCTGGCCATAGACGGACCGCATGTTGCAGTCGAGACCGACTGCTCTAGAGCGGTCGTGTTGAAGTCGTACACGACTGCAACACGACCGCATAATGCAGTCGGCTACGACTGCTTGGAGCAGTTGTGTTCGACCGCAAAATAATACTGATGCGAGTTCATTTACAAGATGGATTTCGATGAAGAAACACTGCTACTTGTACTACTATTACGCAAGTGTAGGCGTAAAAGACACCGTAGTATGTTGGTGCGTCCAATACTACAATCAAGAGAACAGCATGGAATATTTAATACTTTGTATCACCAGCTGAGAGAAGACACTCAAAAGTTTTTCAACTACTTTAAAACGTCCGTGGTTTCATTTGATGAATTAGTTAGTATTTTATTTTATTTGAGGGAGTGGCGCGCGGTCGGCAGCAACCGCTTGTAGCGGTCCGTGTATGGTGGGTCCGGCAGCTCTAAGCAGTCGACCGCACGGCGAAACTCGACCGCAGAGCGACTGCTCCGACCGCTCAGAAATTGGTCGTGCGGTCCGTGTATGGCGGATATGAATTTAGAATGGAAACTGCAGTTCGCCGTGCGGCGACCGCTTAGAGCAGTCGGTATCGACTGCAACATGCGGTCCGTCTATGGCCAGCGTATTCGTTGAGCGCGGAAAGCACCAACTCTGGCGTCTATTTATTTATTTATTTATTAAGGAAAACTAAACAGATACATCTCTATACAGAAAAAATAAAATAAATGTAAAACATACAATAAATAGACACATTGGACATATCCACAAAAAAGTTTCACTAATAAAAATACAATACAAAGTAAAACAAGACAAAACATGACAGCACAAAATTTAACACTAAACTAGCAGTAGCAGCTATAAAAAAAAACCAAGGAAGATACAAGGCTTAAGACATTAAGGGTTTTAACTTATTCTTAAATGAAGCAGTAGAGGAGTGCGAAAAAGGGTCGATGTTATTGACAGAATCCAAGGTGGAACACATCCTGTGAAGAGGCTCACGGAACCCAATGTTACCGGTACTATCTACCAGACGTGAACTTTAATCTTTAATTAGCGCCTGTGAACTTGAACTCCACGGCCGTCCCTACTCTTCTGGACGTAATCAATATTTGGGACGTGTTTTCAAGACGTGTGTGTTTTCATAATTTTCGTAGTAACGACAACCAGCTAGCAACAATCTTCTAATGTAAATAAATATATTTAATGTAAATAAAACTATAACTATATAATTTATATATTTGTAATATAAAAAAATATATGAAATTTATCTTCTGTTATAATCATGCCGTCTCCTCTCGATACAATTGTATTGTAATGTTTCACAAGTGATACATTAATTGTGTACCTCCAATTATACATATTTTTATTTGGCACACTTTACAGTGGTTTATCGGCCCCCTTTGGTTCGGGCCAAGACACATTAACCGGATGGAAACAAGACATTCCTTCCGCACCGCTTGATCTAGCGCCAGCTATTCTCGTCGACGAGTTTGTTTGTGGTGAGTTATTTTAGTAAATGAACATGCAACTGATATTTCAGTTGCTGAATAATTGAATTAGATTTCCAACCGTGATAATTGTCATTTGAATTTCTGAGAAGTGTCTTTCCTTTTATGGTTTTTTAACGTACACTGAATGGAATTAAAACTAATGAAATCAAAAATTTCCGTTTGTTAATAACCTGGTTCCCAACACACTGTAACTGGTAAAGTGTACATGAATCTGAAAACTGTTTATTTCACTAGTAGCATTTTCTTTACTAGTATTTAACCGTGACACAAATATTGCATTCGATAGCAATTTTAGGAAACTCCTAAGTGATAAGGGTGTCTCCAGTAAGGGATGTCCACCCAAAAAAATTTTTTATTTTTTTGATAAGACTTTTTTTATTATGTGGCATTAAAAAATATATATAACCCTTAATTTTCACCCCTCTACGATCAACCCCTATTCTTCATTAGAGAAAAATTCACAGAACAACCTAAAAGTTTTCATTCCAAAAAACATAATAGTCTCAGGGGTAGCATAGTAAAATAGCTAGGCTAAATAAAATCACATTATGGAGAAACGAAGTTCGCGGGGGCAGCTAGTATTAATATTAAAAAAAATTGGTTTGTATAACACCATGTTTAGCGTTTTTTGTTATTTAAGGAACTCGTTATATAATGGGAGCGGAATCTCTATCTGCATTAGCCCAAGGAGCAGCTACAGCGCTCATGGACGGGCCTTTGAACATCGTGGAAGCAGTGGAAAGCGCTAGAGTTGCTGTGGAAGCAGGTGGATCTCTTGCTTTAGAGCCAGACAGAATATTGTCTCCAGCCGCTTTAGCAACACTGCTAAAAGGTCCACCGCTTAACGCCACGCTTCCACTTGCGGCACTAAATTTAGTACAGCAAAGAAGCGATGAACTTCTGTCACATGCTGACAGTCGTGGTGGAGGCCTCGCATCCAGATTTTAGTGTAATGAGATTAAATTATTAGTTTTCAGTTTTTGTTTTATTTGGGCATTGTAAAGTCCGTTATAAATATAACCAGACTTAAGTATATTTAAGGTTTTGGTAGCTCGTGCTTTTTGAAGTGAAAACTTCTTTAGGGGCGTTGTACACTTTTTTTGGTATGGGTAAAAAATTTTAAACTCTCGTCAGGTCACGTGTCCTGATCAAAAATTCGCAAGACGGATGTTTTTTAAAGGATTATGAACTTTCGTACTATGTATATAGTTACGATTTTAATTCATTTGTCTCTTTCCTCAGATACATTGATGCATGTGGAATTGGATCTTAAGTCAATACATCAAGGTTTAATTTTGCGAAACGTCTAAAGCTTTATTATTAATGATTTGGTCAGACTGAAGCGAATAAAAAAAATTAAAATGAGTATTAAATAATAATTCAATTTCCTAATTGAATTATTATTTAATACTAATTTAATTATTTTGTGTAGGTTTCGTAAGACGGATGGAGAGTAGACAGCTGGCGCGGCGTATTTAATGTAATATAAATTGTCATGTTTGTGTACGATAGCGCAATAAATAAATATTGTAATCTACCACATAAATGATAGTACTTTTATACTGAAAATTAAAGCAATTCGTGCAAAATTATTCCCTAACCATTCCAAAATAGCAAAAATGCACAACGGCACTCCCGGAGTGCAACCCGTGGTTTTCTTTTTATAGAACAGGGGTAAACAGGCAGGTGGTTCACCTGATGTTAAGTGATTCCTCCGCCCATGAACACTCTCAATGCTAGACGGCTCCCGAGTGTGTTGCCATTTCAACAATTGGTACGTTCTTTTTCTTTTCTTCGACCTAAGTCGAATTGGTTTGGACCTAAGTCGAATTGGTTTGGAAATACTTCAGCAGCTGGTTCCATATAGCGGTGGTCAAAACACGCTCAGTTGTGGAACGACGGACGTCGAGGTGATACGGCTAGAATTTCGTATTCTGCAGCTTACCTGCAGCTAAATCCAAACCACTCCTCTGAACACTCTCCATGGTAAATCCGGTAGAAGATACAGAGTGACCCCACATCTCTACGCAACGCCAAGGGATCAAGCCGCTCGGAGAGGGAGTGGTCGTCGACGATTCGAACCGCTCTTCGTTGAATAATTCGCTTCGCTAATTTCGAACTTCAAAATATATAAATGAAATAATTGGGCTTGATAGTCAATTTGATAACGGCTATAGGCTTCGCTAATAAACTTTACTAGATAACATCAGGCTGCTTGCAATAGGAGCTAAACAGGAATAGTAACTGTAAAAAACTTTTCCGTTTATGGAAACGGAAAAGTTTTTTCCTCGAGAGTGTCAGGTCATGTCAAAATAACTTTATTCATATTGGTAAATTATGAACGAAGGAAAAAAAGAAGTTAAATTAATTAGTATTCGCTGTGTACCTTAAAACGGATTTAGTTAAGCACAAATCCTCCTGATGGAGGTTTTCTCTCGAAATGAATTTTGACGGCACAATATTATTTTTAAACCAACCATTGACATCATTTCAATTGAAACAATATATCGTTATTTTATAAAGAAACTCCGCAATAAATTAGTCAAGCGCGTATTTACGATGTGCACGCGTATCTAAAAGAATTCTCACAACTTTATAATCATGTATTACCATCGTTAAATACATATTAATTGTTTTATCACGAATAGTCGCATTACACGTGCCAACGCATTATTTACTGCGAAATATTTGCTATTCCTATCACTGCAAGGCTATTATTTATGACTATAAATTGTTATATATTGGGACGTGTCATCAGTGTTGCAATTTTTCGCGTAATCTAATATTAGGGAGGTTTAAAATAATATTGTATTTTTACTACTTACGCTTAACGCATAAAGCCCTGGAGGTGAATTAAAAAATCGTTTGTCTTGGTTGGTATAGATCACGTAATCATGGACACAGACCTTATTTGCAGTTCCACGTCCTTTACGATAAAATATTCATATAGACATAGACATAACATCTATTACAAACGAAAACACACACACATAAACACACAAAATAACAATACTTAAAGAAAAAATAAAATAAGACATCAAAAACAATAAAAATTTAAAATTAAAATTAAAAAATTTCTTTTGCCATTCGGTTCGCTTCCAGTGTGCAATGTGTGTGTACTGTGGTTGTAATTGGCCCTGGCTCAGCATTATGCTGAGGAGCAAAAAGTTCCACAGCGCTGGTCATTCTGCCAGAGACCACAGCAGCTAGTTTACGCCTCTAATAAAATAAAATAAGACATATGGTCATTGGATATTGGGGAATCCCTTGAATCGTTCGCTTGGTTGCTAAAATTATGAAGGTAGGTGCTGCTCTTCCTCCGACCTAAAACAACATGTCTTTTGCGCATTACACTTTGGTTGTTTAGTCATGTAGAGTGGATGTACAAGAAGCGGCTTACAAGGCAACCGTGGATGGTGAAGTTGGGCTGGGTAGGCGACACCCGTTGTCATCATTGTACGGAAGATACGAGACACAATTGGTGGCTTTGGACGGCTTTCGGTTGCGTCCTTTTTGATAGTATTGTTGGCAATCCACTAATTATTTAAAGAATGGTGGAAGCTGCCAATGACGGTTCCCTGGATTGACTTTAAGGCTTTTTGTGAGGCTTTATGACTCAGAAAGAGAATGCGGAGCGTCATCGTGAAAACGATTCAGATGCTCTGCCAGAACGAACACTACGACCAGGGCAGTAACGCCATGCTTTCGCACGGCTGCTCTAACAAAAAGTTTGAAGATTAGTGGGAGGCGTCTGATATTTTTTTATAGAACAGGGGGCCAACGAGCTTGTGGCTCACCTGATGGTAAGTGATACCGCCGACTATGGACACTCTCAATGCCAGAAGGTTCGTGAGTGCGTGGCCAGCCTTTAAACATTACTCAGCTCAGCTCAGGCTCAGCCGCTACCTGTCTACGCCCATTGAACAGTTTGCTGAAGTCATTCGTCAGGTTTTAGAAGGTAGGGTTATAAATTAAGTTGAGTCCCACATAATGCCTGCTTGAGCTAAATGCTGCTTGATAAAAAGGGGTAGGCCTTGTTGGGCACACTTGGACCAAATCCAGGAAGTAATAGAAAGGGTCAAGTTAAAAATATCCATAACGTGGATGAAGCGAGAGAGGTATGTATCTTTGAGAAAAAGGCGTGAATAAAAAAAAAATCTGTGGCACTACAACCTCTTTAGGTCTTGGGCTCATATTTCTGAATCTGTTTCATGATCATTTTTAAATCTAATTGGCAAGTAGGTGATCAGCCTCCAGTGCCTGGACAAACGCCGTCGACTTTTTGGGTCTAAGACATGTCGGTTTCCTCACGAGGTTTTCCTTCACCGTTCGAGGAAATGGTAACTGCGCACATAGAAAGAAAGTTCATGGGTGCACAGCCGGGGATCGAACCTACGACGTCAGGTATGAGAGTCGCACGCTGATGCCACTAGGCCAACACGGGTGTAATGGTTGCAGCTCCTTAACGTTGTGTAAAAAAAATGGCGATTAAAAACAGTGGCGGAGAGTTTGTTGCCAGTTCTTCTCTTCCGTTCGACGCCCTTGATTTGAGAACTGGCAGTAAATGTAAAATAAGAAGCATTAATATGTATTTCTTGTATGTATTTCATTATGTTACCTACATGATTAAATGATTTTTACTTTTACTGCTCTCGATTCTGTAACTCACTTTTCGAACTCACACAGCGGTTTTCGCATCGGCGGTCGCTCTGAAATCAGTCGTGAAGCAGTCAATTTATGATTTGGCATGCTGAAAAGGTGGGAGCTTGTGGTTTTATTGTTTATCAGTATGACAAATCATAAAATGACTGCTTCACGACTGATTTCAGAGCGACCGCCGATGCGAAACCGCTGTGTGAGTTCGAAAAGTGAGTTACAGAATCCAGGGCTGCTCTAAAATAGATAAATACGACATTACTCCAATCAAAATGGAACGCTCGATTTTAGCCTGTCGTTACATTCTCACCCCGCTATAATTGTTTGTATAGATAAGCGAGCAACATAGATAGACGTCACGCGAGCAATGTGCGCGCACATAATATGATAATTTATTATCTTTTTGTTGTCGATTCTCGATAAACGTTTTGTTTTTTAACAATTATCCATAAATTACTGTTGGGGGTTTTGGGGCTGTTATCAGTTAAAGGGCAGCCCTTGCGCCATCACAAAGGGCTCTGACGCAAACTAAAGTTAAAAATGCGCGGCGCTATAATAGCATGATTATTATTTGAAGGCTGTACTCGGTTCCATACGGAATAAAGCAGGCGTAGCGTAAAGTTATCAACCCTTCTTCTCAATCAATGAACTACTTATTTCAATTCAGTTAATATTTTTATTTGAAACGTAAGCGTAAATTCCGCGCAGCCTATATAACAAGATTTAAAAACCATTTCATATTTTTTATAGATCCTATAATTAGTTTTTTTTTTTTTTTTGACAATTAACACCAATTGACCTACTCCCAAGCTAAGCTGGTGAAGCTTGTGTTATGGATACAAGGCAACGGATATACATACATACTATTGATAGATAGACATATAAATACATATTTTAAACACCAAAGACCTAAGCACAACACCAAATGCACATCACATCGATGTTTGTCTCAGCCGGGGATCGAACCCGGGACCCATGGATTCGCAGTCAGGGGTACTAACCACTAGACCAATGAGCCGTCAATTAATAATTCGTAAGCCGTAATTCAATCTCTTACGTACCGATATTGAAAAGAATCTCTTCTTTTAATCAAACTTTGTCCTGACAATAACGAACACAAAAAAATAACTATTCAATTTTGTGCAGTCATTTGGAAGTTTTTATAGATTTCGTGGGTTTTATTTATAGTCTAAGCGCAACCAGCATACAAAAACAATACACTATCGCATTTATCTCTCCACGTCTTATTGCATTCGGCGCTGGCTTCGGGTGAACGGGTCAATCACTGATTG